ATTAATATATTATTTATTGTTGTTTTCATATACCGATGTGGTCAAAAGTATTGGTACTCCTCTGTTTCCCAAAGAATCCCAGTTTATTGTGAAATAAGTTGAAACTGAGACAATCAAATGGCATCCAGAGTTCTTTATTCCACAATCCACAGAGCGCATATTTTGCTTTTAATGCATAACTTAACATATTCTCGTGTCAACTGCAATTTATTTCATAGCAAATTGAGATTCTTTTTGGAAAAAAAGTGATGCAATACCAATACATTTGGCCTTCCTCTCTGTATGGTCTGCTGAATAATTGACTTTTTATGGGAGGAAATTATTTTTTTTCCAAGTTGACATCAGCACTACAAATAGCTGCTGATATGGTTCTTAATAATCATATTTCACGTGTGAACACTATGCAGGTTGATATAATTTAACTGGGCAGACTACCTAGCTACACTTTATCTCTCAGAACTAAATAACATAATAAGTACCGTAACTGGAGATTCAGATACTTTTCCTACCAAAGTGCTGAGTACAGAAAATGCTTCTGTGTTTCTTTACAGAAATTTTTTAATTCATTTGTTCAGTATAATACATGTAAAAATTGTTTTTGAAAAAGTAGAAATGTCAAGAAACTATGTGTATGTTTGAGAATATGTGCATGCAAAAGGGGAGGATTATCTTTGCCTCTTACTTGGTTTTGATTGCCTAAATTTCCTTGTAAAATATACCATTGTGAAGAAAATATTTTCATCTGATTCTAAAAACAATGTTTATTTTTAGTGCTGTTTTCAAGACTGTGGCAAATGGTTCTGACAAGATCTTATGTTCTACCCTGTGAATGTTTTATTCATCAGGCTAATTCTTAGATTTCTTTTTTTAGACTGTTTCTCGTTTCATTGTAGTTCACTGGTCAATAATGTAATTGGTTCATGCTGTAAAAGAGGAGAGTCAGTAATTGCAGAAGTGATTTAAGGTTAGAAGGACTCATAAACAGTTTTTCTATTTGTTAAATACTGTAGATGGAAACTGACAGACAGTGATTAGCATTACACAGCAGAAGAAATGCGTGACAGAAAAACTCTAAAATTAAGAGTTTAAAAGATAAGCTTTATTCAGGAAATAACATGGTGATACCCAAGCGCAAGTTACTACAACCTACAGTGGTGATAATCTGAAAATAGGGGTGGTAAAGGGAAGAGGGAAGTTCCTAAACTGCACAGATCAGAATCAAAAAGAAAACTGAATTGAGGGAAGAAAGAAATGATGAAAGAGAGAATCAGAGAAATGCTACTTAACAGACATGCAGAAGTAAGTCTTTTAAATAAGGAAAGGAGATGCCTACTTTCTCTATATCTTGATGGCGAACCTATGGCATGCATGTCAGAGGTAGCACACAGCGCCCTCTCTGTGGGCTAGCAAGCTGTTGCCCCAGTTCAGCCGGCCAGCTGGTCTTTGGGTCTCTGCCGCACATGCAGGGGGTAGGGGGTGCATGCACAGGGGGCTGGGCATATGCGGAGAGGCCATGCATACATGCCCAAGGGGCTGGGTAGATGCATGAGGGCTGCACGCACATTGCATCTTGGGGGTTCAGGTGCACATGCGTGCATTTGCACGCGCATTCACACATGCTTTGACCACTTGGTTCTGGAAAAGGTTATCCATCACTGCTCTATATCCATTGCTGCTTTTGCCAGTGCATGCAAAATGAATTGCAAGAGTGGCTAGTCAACATTGACTGAGGTGAAAAGTTAATTGGTGTCAGAACCTCTTAGTACTTTTTTGGGAGACCATCAGAATGTACCAAGTCAGTAACTTTGAACAACAAACAAACAAACAAACGAATAAATAAATAAGTAAGTAAGTAATAAATAAAAGATGGCATGACAAATTATTTCTGTGTTGCTGACAACAAAGCTACATAGGCATTCCCATATAGCCACCAGGAATCAAGTTAAAGTCCAGATAGTCACCAGAAATCAAGCATTCTCATTTGATTATTTGATATTAGACTGTTAAATATTCCCCCAAATGGCCTGGAATAGGAAGGACATGCATTTCATAAAATCAAATCTAAATCAAATATAATTAAAATTATATTGTTGTTAATGTGATTGTTTTCTATGTATTAAATACTCCTCTCCCATTGTCACATAAGCTTTAGTACAGTCCATTGCCCTTCTGGGGAGAGTTGTGGTAGTCACACGGAGGTCTTTGGTGGAATTTACACACCGTAAGAACTTCAGGTTGTACCACCCATTACTGCCTGAAAAACTTTAGCAGTGAGACTTTAAGGCGCCAGCCAGACTCAGGGGTTGGCATATGTCACCTCAAGTGGCAAAATGACAAATTAAGAAGGGAATTCTCTTTGACAAGTAATTTTTAAAAATGAAGAAAATAATCAGAACTGATCCATCTCTGTTCACCCAGATCATTAATTTTCATGTGGGCTATGAGCTGTATTGTACAGCAATAACACCACCATGGTTCCACCAGGACCGGTATTCTTAAATTCTCTTCAGCACTTTTTTCAGGCATGACAATCACATAAGCAGTCATTGGTGTGTGATTCTGCATGCAAGGTTCCTATTTGCATCCTTATTTCTGCCCTCAAAACAATAATTTATTAGCCTAATATTGGCCCCTAGTTTGGAAAACTTGATCACTGTGTGTGTGGCTTGTTTGTTTTAGCTTCTTACGTACTTTTCCTGTAGCTGAATATTATGAAACAGCTTTTCCTCAGGAAAAATAAAATTGTGCAGTAGGTTTTCAATCTCACGCTTTCTCCCTTGGTCTATTTCTGGTTTTAATAATTGAAAACTACTGTTCATTATTTACATAAATCTATCTTTCTTGGTCCTGTTTTCTCTAACCTTTCCCCTTTGGAGAATTTCAGGAATTCTCTAACTTTCCTCTGGGAAATCCTAGACTGTTTCATCTAAGACCAAAGTTGAAATAATTGGTAATTTTGAAAAGAGGGGAGGGTGCATGGCTATGTTTAAAACACTCTTTTGTTTTACTTCCATGCAGAGTTTGCCATTTTCAAGCCTTTTAAAATGGGCATGTTTTTGGGGAAATACATGCTTCTATTTAATGTTAACATTTTAGCAGCAAGCTATAAATCGCAGCAAGCAAATGGAAGGATTCTTTTGACTGAATGGGAAAAAACATGCATGCCCTAAAGGCCAGATATTTCAAATATACTTCCAGGATTCTACTCTGCTGTGTGTATGTGTGTATGTTTTTTTTCAATGTTTCTCTTAATGAAGACGTGTCACAACCAGAGTCTTTAAAAATGACCCTTGCTGACACCTCCCACATTCCAGATCCTTTACTCCTCAGCCGTGAACCTCAGCCAATTGAACATTCACAGTCTTGGCAGAGCTTCACATGATCCCTGTCTCTCTTCCTTTCTTCCTGCTTTCTTGCAAGCACAGTAAGAAATGTTTTACATTAGGCATTCTTAATTATTTTGATGGCTGAAAATTTGTTTTTTTTTACAGCCTAGAATTTAGTTATGCCTAATTAGACTGTCGTCCTTTATTATAAGTCCAAAAGTGCATCAGGGATTCTAAAGATCTATTCCTGCAGTAAAACAAAAAAGCCCCCAAAACTGGGCCAAATTATATTAATGCAAGAGGCTACCAGCACTGTAATTATTTAGCAGGATTACACTGATAAAGTTTGAAGAAATTAAACATAACCATTAGATTAAAAAAAAGCAAATACAATTGATAATATATCATGTTTGCAAACATTATGTATAACTTTTAAATAAGCCATTAAGATTATTTTCACTTCCTGACCTATAGTTTTATTTCCACTTATTTATGGTTCTGCAACACAACAAGACAGACACAGATTTCAGAGGATAATTAGAACTGCAGAAAAAAAATTGCTACCAACCTGCCTTCCATTGAGGACCTGTATACTGCACGAGTCAAAAAGAGTGCTGTGAAAATATTTACAGACCCTTTGCATCCTGGACATAAATTGTTTCAACTCCTACCCTCAAAACGAGGCTATAGAGCACTGCACACCAGAACAACTAGACACCAGAACAGTTTTTTCCCCAAACTCTGCTAAACAAATAATTCCCTCAACACTGTCAACTAGTTACTAAGTCTGCAATACTATTAATCTTCTCATCGTTCCTATCATCCATCTCCTCCCACTTAGGACTGTATGACTGTAACCTTGTTGCTGGTATCCTTACGACAGTGGTGAAATTCAAAATTTTTTACTACTGGTTCTGTGGGCATGGCTTGGTGGGTATAGGGGAAGGATACTGCAAAGTCCCCATTCCCTCCCCACTCCTGGGGAAAGAATATTGCAAAATCTTCATTCCCACCCCACTCTGGGACCAGGCAGAGATGGTATTTACTTATATGGTTACTTATATGGTTCTCCGAACTACACAAAATTTCCGCTACCGGTTCTCCAGAACCTGTCAGAACCTGCTAGATTTCACCCCTGCCTTACGATTTATATTAACTGTTTCCTAATATGATTTGATTGCTTATTTGTTCCCTATGACTATCATTAAGTGTTGTACCTTATGATTCTTGATGAATGTATCTTTTCTTTTATGTACACTGAGAGCGTATGCACCAAGACAAATGCCTTATGTGTCCAATCACACTTGGCCAATAAAGCTGTTCTGTTCTGTTCTGTTCTGTTCTGTTCTGTTCTATTCTATTCTATTCTATTCTATCCCATCCCATCCCATCCCATCCCATCCCATCAACCCATCATTGGATGCCATTTAGGCCACTGAATTTAGTCAGGAATAGTATTTGAAGACAAAAAGCAGTACATAGGACTTTATTTAATTATACTGTGCACTCTATGTGTTGTAATACATCTGCTCCTGATTTTTGTGGAAGGAACTTGAATAGAGGTATTGTTTGTACTTAAAACCTGAATTTTCCCATATACTTTCCAGTGTCTTAGACAAAAATGTCAGCCATTATTCCATTGACCTCACTTTTCATTCTTCTTTTGCCATGTAGGCTCCTTCAAAAATGATTTGGCTGCCTTCAAGACCTGGAGCTCTAATGCCAAAATGAGGACTCACACACGGGGGGCTCCCAGTGTGTTTTTCATACATGTGGTTTGCTTTGCACTAATCTGCAGCACTGACAACAACCCAAGCACTGCTGTTCCATTTGTCAATGCCAACTACGACAACTACCCAATGCTCTACTTCTCTAGGCGAGAGATACAGGATCTCCGATATAAGGCAGGCACTACACATCAACACATTGCAGCTCGGTTGGTTGAAGCTGTGCAAATCATGCTGTCAAACTCTTTGGAATATCTTCCTCCCTGGGATCCCAAAGACTTCAGTGCTCGGTGGAATGAAATATATGGCAACAATTTGGGTGCTCTAGCAATGTTCTGTATACTTTATCCAGACAACATGGAAGCCATCGACATGGCCAAAGACTACATGGAAAGAATGGCGGCTCAGCCTAGTTGGTAGATTTTTGTCTTGTTTTTATTGCAAAACATAACTATACAGTGCATATTTGGGATATATTAAGAGTAAAGGGGTATAGAATGCTTTGATTTCTTTTCATAACTGTTTTTTTAGGGAATACCTATTTTTAAAGCTTATATCTAAAACAAGCATTATCATTTTTAGTATATTCCAGTATACATGTCATATAAGCTAGCATTTGAATGTCCATTCTGAATCTAGAAATTTCAGTTTGGAGGTTTAAAACAAAATATTGACTTTTCTCCAATTTGGGAAGTCCAGGTCAGCCCCGCCCCCCACCCCCCTAAATACCAGTTTTCTGTTAAAAGTCAATATATTGGCCACTATCTGATTGCTGCTAGATTATTTTCAGCCACCAATAGAAGCCAGGGGGCTGTTAAACTAATGCATATTAGTTCTCAGCTGTATCCTAGAGAAGGGTACAATTGAGTTAAATGAATTTAGAAACTTGCTTGTATTTTAGAATATTACTTGGAAATATGCATTTAAACTAAATAAACATGATCAACTCTTAATATTTTTAAAGGAAACTTTGTTAATTGTAATATAGGATATAAAATTGTTTTATTTTATTTTTAAGTTTAAAGTTCTGGCTTTAGTAAGCGATTGAAACTTCAGACATAATCTTTAACATTCATAAATACCTGTATGAATGTAATGAACATTGTTGCTGCATAATGAAAAGGCCAGAAAACTGGTCCACCATTTATTTCAATTGTCAAAAATAGCATGGGGAAGCAACCACAATAATTACAGAACACAGAATAATAGAGTTGAAAGGGATCTTGGAGATCTTCTAGTCCAATTCCCTGCCCAGGAGACCTTATACCAGTGATGGCTAACCTTTTTGCCATCGCGTGCCAGGAGGGGGGGGCGGGGGAGGGTCGCGTGCGCAACCCCCCCCCCCCTCCCCCCCCGCTCCTGGCACATGATGGCCTGGTAGGCCCGTTTTTCTTTCTTACCTGGTTCCAGATCCTCTCTGTGTATCTGGGAAGGGCGAAAACAGCCTTTTCCACTCCCTTGGAGGCCCTACAGAGGCTGAAAGGGCCCATTTCCCAACTCTCGGTGGGACAGGAAATGACATTTTTTGCTGTCCCCAGCCTCCAGAACCTCTCTAGGAGTCTCTCTAGGAGTCTCTGGAGGCTGGGGACAGGAAAAAATGTCACTTCCTGTCCCACTGGGAGTCGGGAAATGGGCCCTTTCAGCCTCCATAGGGCCTCCAAGGGAGTGGGGAAGGCTGTTTTTGCCCTTCCCAGATACACAGAGAAGATCTGGAGCCAGGTAAGAAAGAAAAACGGGCCTTCCCCACCCCGCCCCCAGGCCCTCCAGAGGCAGGAAACAGCCTGTTTCCCTACTTCTGGTGGGCCCAGAAGGCCCGAAAATCAGCTGGTCGGTGCGTGCATGTGCCCCAGAGCTGAGCTGGCGTGCCCACTAATATGGCCGTGTGCCACCTGTGGCACGTGTGCCATAGGTTCGCCATCACGGCCTTATACCATTTTGGACAGATGGCTGTATCCAGTTGCCTCTTAAAAACCTCCAGTGATTGGAGCACCTGCAACTTTTGGAAGCAAGCCGTTCCACTGGTTAATTTTTCTCACTGACAGGAAATTTATCCTTAGTTCTAGGTTGCATCTCTCTTTGTTAAGCTTCCATCCATTACTTCTTTTCTTGCCCTCAGATGCTTTGGAGAATAGGTTGGCCCTCTCTTCTCTGTGACAACCCTTCAAATATTGGAGTGCTACCATGTCACCCGTGGGTCTCCCCTTTGTTAGATTAGTAGACATTCCCAGTTCCTGCAACCGTTCATCATACAGTTTAGCCTTCAGTCCCCTAAACATCTTTGTTGCTCTTCTGCACTCTTTCTAGAGTCTCAACATCTTTTTTATGTTATTGTTATTCTGTACTCTGTAATTACTGTGGTTGCTCCCACACACACTATTTTTGACAATTGAAATAAATGGTGGTCATTTTCTCTGGCCTTTTCATTATGTAGCAATAATGTTCATTCATGCAAGTATTTATAAATGTTAAAGATTATGTTTGAAGTTTAAATCAAACACTTAAGTCATTTTTTTCATGTCAGTGTTAGAGTAGCAAAAGCTACATAGTTTAAAAGTACTTATTGTTAAAATGGCAATAAAAGCTGTGAAGTTCAAAAGAAAAAGGGTAATAAATTAGACTGCTGAGTATTTAATCCACAGTTTAAATCAATCATTTTTTAAAATGATTGGCAGAAATAATATGCAATTTCAAATTGTCAATGAAGTTTGAAATTCCTTAAGGCATTTGTATATAAAAGCAATAATAGCCTAATAGCAGTTTTGCAACAAATGAAAGAGTAGAGAGAAAGAAATTCACTCACTGTCATTTTCAAGTGTAAAATTTACTGTGAGATGAGATTTGTGGATATAAACTAAATATTAGTTGTTATGTGAGATTCCTACTTTTTCTCAAAAACATTCCTGTAATAGAATAATGACCTCTTTTAGAATCAACCTTTAGGCACTGCTACTGTATAGTTTGAAAGGCATCTTTGTTTTCCTTTACTTTATCAAAACTGAATAATCTTGATAAAGCATCTAAGTACTTTAAATGATGCTGCTTCTGGCTCTTGGAATACAAGTTGAAATCTTCATTTGTGCTTAGATAACTTGTACCTGAAATTTATCTTTTTCCAGTTAACCGCATAACTTATTTTTCCTCTAAATGCTTATCTGTAATCTCTTTTGAAACAGAGATAACACTATTGATTTAATTTAATTTTCACTGTAACTTTTACAGTTCTATATTGTCAGTTAAATTTATTTCTTTAGATATTTTTTTATTCCACCTTTATTAGTTTTATAAATAACTCTGATACTCCTTTCCCCGTCCTGTTTTCCCCACAACAACAAACCTGTAAGGGAACTTGGGTTGAGAAAGAGTGACTGGTCCAAAGTTTTCCATCTGGCTTTCATGACTAAGGCAGGATTAGAACTCAGTCTCCTGATTTCTAGCCTAGGGCCTTAACAACTAGACCAAAATGACTCTCTCAGTGTATTGTACTATAATTCCCTGAACAGACTCTACAGTCCTTAGAAGACATTCAACATATTGGATGGTAATAATTGTCATCATTATAGACAATTCTATGAACAATTTATAAATTATAGTAAAAGACAGTATGGATTATGTCCTGTAGCTAAAATTCTATAAATGCTTGGCATATACTAAAATATATTTTCAGGCTTCTGGCAAGTAATGTTATATCAATATGTTTCAGGCAAAGACAGTCTTGGATCCAGGCCATGAGGGGTTACTGTGAGTGTTTAATAAATTGAAGACCTGGCCAACAGGTTTTTAAAATTCTGCTTTGCCAAAATAATTCACCAGACGCTAAGAATTTTTAAATAAAATCAAAATAAAGGTAAAGGTTTTCCTTGTCCAGTCATGTCTGACTCTAGGGGGTGATGCTCATCTCCGCTTCTTAGCCAAGGGAGCATCATTTTCTGTAAGCATTTCTGTGGCCATGTGGCCAACTTGACTATACTCCAAAGCGCACCGAGCACTGTTACCCTCCCACCAAAATGGTACCTATTTATATAGTCACATTTTCATACTTTTGAACTTCTAGGTGAGCAGAAACTGGGGTGAGAATGGAAACTTATCCCATTGTGCAATGCTCGAGTCTTGAAACTGGGCTCGAAACTTCCAGCCGACAAGCCCAGTGAGCCATCACATCCTTCTCAAAATCAAAATATGCCGCTGTAAACTTGATTGTTACAGTGTGTGGTGAAGATGAGGCTATGAGACCATTCAAAAGTTACCAGTCCTTGCGGAAGCGTTTGCTCTGCATCTCTACACAGGTTCAGTTCATGGGAGAAGCCCTCTAAGCAGTTTAAGGCTATGAGAGGATTCTGTGCTTCAACATTACAACCATCAGTTTTGAAGAGGTGCTCCAGTTGCTTGGTAAAACTGCCTGTCCAAATAATTGCTGAACCCTTTTTGGAGTCATCAGAAAACGTTTTGTCCCAAATATGAAGAGATCTATTATTTTTAATGTGGAAAAGATAATGTGATCCTACTTTGGAGCCATCAGTATTTCAATACTTTTTTATTAAAGTGCAAGCTAGTTCATAATAATATTGTCTACCACTTTTGATTTTTCTTTAGAAAAAAATCACATGATTCAAATATCTGGGGGCTATGTGACAGCAAAATACAAATGTTGGATTATTTATTATAGCTTATCCTCTTGCCAAAATTCCTCAGTAGAATAGTTCATAATGAAATACAGCTCATAAAACCCCATTCCATTTCCAGTTAGCTTCCTTGAGAAGAGAATAAAAGAGCAAAATCACTTTCATATATTTGTATAGGTGGCCTCTCAGAACACCCTTCCACAGACTCAGTTTCAATGAGTACAATTCAACTGCTATAATTTCTCCAGCCAGATAACTATTACTATTAATTGTAGGAGATGCCATTTTAAACCAATTTTTAAAAATACTTATTTTATGTATTTAATTTATAAGGCACCCAAGTCCAATAGAGTCCAATTATGTTCAAGTAGTTTAATTGCACTGGTTATAGCTCCAGTAGTTTTTTAGAGAGAACAACTATAGTGATAGGGAAGCAAAATCATTCATTCATTCATTCATTCATTCACTGTAGCCAACCATATCAGTCAATGATATGTCCAGTGCCTTACAGTTAAGATACTAAAACATTTAAAAAAGAATCTTGAACCAACCTAGAAATCAATAATATTTTTATTGCTTTTATGTAAGATTGATGGTGTGGAAACCAAGCAAGACCATAGGTCATACTGTAGGCTGAATTAAAAAAAAAGCAGAGCTAAAAAGATAATATTAGATACTAGAATATTAACTGAAATCTTGTTCTGCAAATAAGAAAGTGACCTTATAATCACTGTTTCAGTTGACATCATATGAACTCTGCAAAGATTGAAGGCTAACCTTCCCTGGTTGCTTGGCCTCACATGATGGAGGAAATGTGATGTCAGATGCCATCTCATATGTTAAAGGAAAAACACACTGATTTTTTAATACAAGCAAATCAAGAAGTTTGTCTTCTTGATTCTCTGGAATAATAATAATAATAACAACAACAACAATTTGATTCAGGAAGGGTTATTTTAGAGCAAATATGACTGATGAATTTTCAAACTGTAGTCTTTCATGAATTGTAAAACAGAATGAACTGCTATACATTGTTTGAAATTTTAATAAAGATTGAATTGAATAGACAAAGTGAATTGTTTGAAATTGCAATGTTGATTTCAAAGAAGAAACTAGGTTTACAAACTCTTGGATTAAACCTAAATTCCTGGTTTTGTACAGACAGAAGAAACCCACAATTTTAATGTTTGTTTATCTAAAAAAATATTTTGTGTGATATTTGGGGAATCTGGGAGGCTTACAAATGATACCCATCTCTCAGATAATGAACAGAGGACCATTAATATTAGCTTGAAAATGAGCCAAGCCTCTTTTCCATTGTGGGAGGCAGGGTTCAGTTTATTTCCTGCACATTTCTAAATTGCATTACATTAATCTGTATGCAATTTTTATATGTCATGGGTCTTCAGCCCCAAGCAATGAAAAAACTGAAGGGAAAGATTAATGTATGAGTGGAGATCTGCATGCTCAGTATTAGCTGTTTGATGCAATTCTCAGTTTTCTGTTTTAAAATCTGTAACGTTTAAATAGCAATGTTTCTATAATCGTGCCATCTATAAGATGTGTAGAAGTGACACCTTTCCTCTTTTACAGGTTAGTGAAGGATGCTCCATGGGATGAGGTTCCCCTTGCTCACTCTTTGGTTGGATTTGCCACTGCTTATGACTTTTTATATAACTACCTTAGCAAGTCCCAGCAGGAAAAATTTCTGGAAGTAATTGCCAATGCCTCAGGATATATGTATGAAGCCTCATATAGGCGTGGATGGGGTTTCCAATACCTACATAACCATCAGCCTACCAACTGTTTGGCCTTGCTGGTAGGAAGCCTGGTTCTAATGAATCAAGGTAGGTCTTGAACAATGAGCAATTCTTTTTTTTTAAAGCCTGTGACTTCCTAAGATCAAATGAAGTATCTGAAAGCTCTAGCTATGACCCCAGAATCCCTGCAAAAATTGGAAATGAAATGTGATTTTTAATGCATCAGAAGTGGAAAATTAAAACGGGGGATAAGTGCATGTCTACTGTTTTAAATTTTAAAATAAAATTAATTTTAGAATCATATAAATTCAATTCAGTTTTTTATTGTGATCCTGCTCTTGAACTAGCCTTATTTAATTTTTATAGTGCAGCATTTTATACTCTTCTTAAAGATCTGATATGGCTCTTGGGCTAAACAAGGTGTGCATATTGAAACTAGATAAACATACATTTTTAATTCTCAAAATCATTAATCTCTCATTCTCAGAGTGTGCTTGAGTATATATATTCTGTCTTCTTTATACAGTGTTTTAAGAGAATGATAGCATAAAGGATCCATCTAGCCCAGGGCTGTCAAACTCGATTTCATTGAGGGCCTCATCAGGATGTGTCTGACCTTGGGGGGGGGGGGACAGAGAGACGTGGCCAGCATGACATCACTTGTGTCAGGGGGTGCCTGTGGTGGCCTGAGTGGCCAGCGAAAACAGGCTCCCGAGCTCCATTTTCAGCTGGGATGGCTTCCTGCAACCTTCTGCCAGCGAAAATGGAGCTTGGAAAGGCCGCATGTGGCCCTCGTGAGCTCCATTTTTGCTGGCAGGGGCACTTAGGCCACCACAGGCACCCCCTGACCAGGCAGGCTGGTCCTTCACTATTTCCAGGGTGGCCCCACGAGCCAGATCTAAGCACCCCATGGGCCAGATCTGGCCCCGGGCCTTGAGTTTGACGCCCCTGATCTAGCCCAACATCTAGTCCCACAACCAGTCATTTGCGTCTGTAAAAGACACAGAAAGATAATGAAGACCCCAGCCCTTCTCAGTTTGTCCCAAGGAATTGATACTCCTTGATCTACTGCCTCAAACATGGAGATTTCTCATAGCCTATCATGCAAATGAATACTGAATAACCTATTCTCTAGTAATTAAGATTATTTTCTCTTAAGGATATTCATCCGTGACAATTATGTTATGTTATGTTATGTTATGTTATGTTATGTTATGTTATGTTATGTTATGTTATGTTATGTTGAGAGAAAAAGTACTAGCTTCATTCTTTCTTTTATTTCTTTATTTACTGCCTAGATAGATAGATAGATAGATAGATAGATAGATAGATAGATAGGTGATAGATGATAGATAGACAGACAGACAGACAGACAGACAGACAGACAGACAGACAGATAGATAGATAGATAGATAATTTCACTATATCTCCAGATTTCAGGTATTTTAAGTGAGAGAGAAAGGTTTCTTGTGCCCTTTTTTACATGCTGTGCATAATTTTATAAATGTATATCATGTTTTCTCATTTTTTATTTTTATAAATATCCCAACTCCTTTTTGATTTCTTATCTAAATGTTTCCTAGATTTTTTTTTAAATGAAAAATTTAAAAATAAAATTTAGACACGGTAAATATTTTTATATTTTTTTATGTGTTATAAATTTTAATTTCCTTCTCAAATATTTCCAAGCTTTATTAAATCTGCTCTTTTCAGTGCAACCCTCTTGATGTTTTCAATAAACTCTACACCATGAGTAAAATATTTCTTTTTTGTTTGTTTGTTTGTTTATTATTACCAGTAATAGATAAGGCATAAAAATCTCTTAATAAAGGCAAGGCAAGTCTATGAATAGATCCAGTTTAAAAGCTCCATACAAAAACCACATGTAGACAAGCCCAAATAACTTGCAAATATTTCACACTTTAAAAGGTCATATTACTAATATAACATTGTTCGTCTTTTTCTTACAGGTTATCTTCAGGAAGCATACCTTTGGACTAAGCAAGTCCTAACAATAATGGAGAAATCTATAGTTCTACTACATGAAGTGACAGATGGCTCCTTGTATGAAGGCGTAGCTTATGGCAGCTATACCACCAGATCTCTTTTCCAGTACATATTCCTTGTCCAAAGGCATTTTGACATTAACCACTTTAAACATCCCTGGCTTAAGCAACATTTTGCTTTTATGTATAGAACGGTTCTACCAGGCAAGTAACACAACTTAAACTATCCTATAATCAATTATTAATTCTTAGGTAAAAAGCCCAACTGCAAGCGGTTATATATCACGACAGACTGTTTTACATATAGCAATAGCACTTAGACTTATATACCACTTCACAGTGGTTTACAGCCATCTCTAAGCGGTTTACAGAATCAGCATATTGCCCCCAATAATCTGGGTCCTCATTTTACCAACCTTGGAAGGATGGAAGGCTGAGTCAACCTTGAGCCGATGAGACTCGAACTGCTGGCAGTCTGCAGAATTAGCCTGCAATACTGCATTCTAACTGTTGCAATATTTTCTGGATCAGACTCAATAAGTTATGAGAGAGTTAAGAGTTCAAATATATTTTCTTTTATTTACATAAGGCATTCTATATTCACTGAATATTCAGAGATAGAAGCAAAGAAAAGAGTGTGTGTAGCTCCTTATATATACAATGGGTGGAGCTAGATATGGGAGTGGTGAAGTATGAATACATTAAGAAGTGAAGAATAAATTAACCCCTGACATCCCGTTCATATACTATTTACACATTAGAGAATAAGGCATTTACTTGTGACACTAACAATTGCACCACCATGGTTCTTATATTGGTATTAAACTTTAGTATTCTCCACAAATGAAAATTGTATCAAACTAATAACCTTTGGTTAATGTACACCATGCCAACCTATAAAAATGTGTATTCTCTAGTTCATAATGATATAAACACTAGGTTGGATAAACAATGCATTTTTCTCATATAGAAAATGCTTCTAATCGGGGAAGGGCTGCTTATTTTCACACATTGATTTGTGAAAGAGTTTGTACAGTTGTAAAGGTGATCCTATAGAACCCCTCTGCTGAAATACGGCTTTGTACAATTCTTGAATTATGGAGACAGGCTGTTAGATACACAGTCGTATACAAAGTTATCTTACATTTACAAAGCAAGCCATGTAAAGAGTATTCTGAGACATTTATATGGGGCCCAGGCATACACTGGGTGTACCAGCTTCTACCAGTGGTGGTAGAAGCACTTGGGGCTCTGACTCCTAAACTGGCAGATTGGCTCCAAGAGATCCCAGGAACAACATCAGAGCTCTCTTGAAGAGTGCAGTGCTAGGAACAGCAAAGATGCTTTGCCGAACCTCAAATTTCCAGGCCTCTTGTATAGGACCCAAGATTATATTCTCTGTTTACTCCAATGGATGGTAAGTGTCATTCTCAATCTTGGGTCCTATACAAGAGGCCTGGAAATTTGAATGAATGAATCTTTGTATAAAAAGATTCATGCATTTAATATCTTAGTCATCACATCTGTCAACTTAAACTGGAAGTCTGAGTTGTTAAATTCATTAGCAGAATCTCAATCTTATCTATATAAGCTAGTAGGTAGTCATCAGGAACGCATCAAATTTGATGCAGATTCCTTAAAATGTCAGCATAACACAGCAGTTTATTGTACTTACAATATGGAAGATATGAAACCTGATGCATTTCCTCAAATCATGCATTGTTATTGATTGTCTAAGGCAGGGGTGTCAAACTCAGTCACGTTGCAGGCCGCATCAGGAGTTTGTTTGCCCTTGGGTGGCCTGGTCAGCATGGCCAACTGGGTGGGCGTGGCTGGTCCCTCGCCATCTCCAGGATGGCCCCGTGGGCCAACTCTGTGGCCTATTGCAGGTCAGATACATGCGCTGCATGATTGATACGTCTGCTCTAAGGAATGCACTCTCCAGCCCACAGAAGTTCTCAAACAAACACAACAGCCTTGCTATTTTCAAATTTAGATTACCTCATAATGTTAATTTACAATGATCTTAAGAATCAAATTAGAATGGACAGTTATTGAATTCTATCCCTCCCTTAGTGTCTAATATACCAAAGGGAAAATTTCATATTTTCAAAGACTGATGAACTATAAAACCTTCCAAATTATATATAAAACATATAAAATATGTCAGTTTAAAATTGCCTCATAAGGATTATTTTTAAATAGACAAAACTTGTCATTCATTATCATGGGGAAAAAGATACACCTTATAGTGTGAATCAATATCTTATAAATTAAAGCATCATTAACTAATAAACAAAGCTTCTGGAATGAAAAATGAGTTAGAAAATTTTCCCCAAATGAACTTGGAGAAATGTAGAGAAAAATATTTAATATGATATAACTTAGCTGTATTCAATATTAATTTTAAATAATACAATTTAAACAAGATAATCAATTTAAGTGAGGCATTAAATAGATTTTAATATGCTACAAAGAATTCTCTAGACATTCTGTGTGTAAATCTGAGCACATTAATGTTTCATAGTCTGACAATTTAATGATCTACTATTTTAGAGGAAAAGTGATATTAAAACTTTTATAAGAACCTTACAAATGGATATAGTATTACCAACATTATATGTAATATTGTAAATAATTGGGAGCTCTTTCTATCACTTAAATATGCAATATTAAGAAAGGGGTTTACTTTCATATATGTTTGTTTTAATTTTTCCTCCTAGGATTCCAAAGAACTGTTGCTATTGCAGATTCCAACTACAATTGGTTTTATGGTCCGGAAAGCCAGTTGGTTTTCCTAGATAAATTTGTTATGCGCAATGGCAGTGGAAACTGGTTGGCTGATCAGATTCGAAGGAACAGAATACTTGAAGGTCCAGGGACACCTTCCAAAGGACAGCGTTGGTGCACACTTCACACAGAGTTTCTCTGGTATGAAATAAGTAAATCTTTAATCAATGGGCTACATAGAGGGTGGACAAGAGAAAAAACAGGCACAGAAGTGAGTTTAGATATGCTTGTCAGGAATTTATAGAATTTGTACCATTCTTTCTCAGCTGCACATTCTCAAGAAAACACCAGGCAAAGGTCAAATGGACTTTTTTATGCAGTAGATGAGATAGAGCTTTCCAAATATGTGCCATGAAATTATATTCTCTATCAGAAATGAGAAGATTTGGCTAACTATAGTTCCAGAAAATTTGTCAAAAACAGATAAGTCATCTTGGAGGTGATGAGCAGGGAACGAAATGAGCAGTCTCACAGAACGAAATGAGCCTTACAGAAACAGTTATCGTATTTTTCAGAGTATAAGACACACTTTTTTCTCTCCTAAAAGAGGCTGAAAATTATGTAGCTTTTTTTAAGCTTTTTTTCAGCCCTAGGGAGGTGCTAGATCTACCTCCGATTCTCAGCTGTGCTTTAGAAGCTTTTTTTCATGAAGCAATCTTCCCCCCCTCCGACCCTCAGCTGTGAAGCTTTTTTTCAGCCCTAACGAGGCGCTAGCGTGTGAAGCGATCTCCGTGGTTTGCCTGCTTTTCTCATTGCTTCTCTCTCCAAAGATCAGTTGTGCTTTAGAAGCTGGTTTTTATTGCCAAGCAGGAGATAAAAACCAGGAAACTAATGTGCTGAAGCTGACCAGACTAAAGACGCTAGCCAGATGAATATCTGATAGGCAGATTTCCACACCCCCCCCCACTATTTTCCTCCCCAAAAACTAAGCTACATTTTATACTCCAGTGCATCTTATACTCTGAAAAATATGGTAGTTACTTTCAGAGGCATGCAGACTCTTGAAACAAAATGCTGTAGCCCCAATGTCCCTAAGAGGAAGGTATGTAAGAGTCCAATAACTTGTTGAGGATAGGCTTGGTATGGGAACAAGTTAGGTAAAGTAATAAAACCCTTGATATTTGTTTTAACATTGTGCTACCAAACATTGTGGAGAAAACATTGATAATTTCAAATATGTTTTGCTCTGTTAGAGTAATCTGAACTTACCTTTGGGTTTGTTGACTTTTTATACTCTACTAGGAAAGATCAGCAGTGTTGGAGTTTTGGATAACCAAGGGTTGTTGGTTAGCACAGGTTATGTATTCTTCCATTTTGCTTGCTTTGCATGTGTTGGATGGGATGATCTTGTGAATGGATGTTGCTTGCGAATGATTAATGCTTTGTTGGTAGATTATTTGGCCAATAATAATAATAATAACAATAATAATGTTTTAGCTCTATTTTATCTCTGTTTTGGTTGCTTCTTTTTTGGTGGTGTCGATATCTGCTTGATGGCATTACTTGGTGGTGATTTTTTTCTCTTGTCATTGTTGAAATATAATTTGGCTTTCGTTATTTGGTTGGTAAAGAGATGGCTGTAGTTGTTCTAGGTTTTGGTTGATTGCTGTGTGATTTGTGGTATGTTGTTGTAGGTTGGGCTGATGTGCTCATGATTTCAGTAGAATTAATTCGCTATATCTCTTGATCACTACCTAGTCAGAGTACTAGGCTTCTAAGAACTCCCTCTTTCGTGAGAATATTTCACTATTTTCCTATTGAGATTAGGAAGTCATATTGAGTCTATTTACAACTAGTAAAGGATGCTCAAGGATATATCTTGCTAATCTTTTGTCTGCTTTGGCCTATGCAGCGACACTTGCATTTTATTTTGTAGATTACTCCTGTTTTGTCTTCCTTTGGTACGGCGGCCTTGAATTTGCTGAGAATGCTTTGTAGGGACTTCGTTTATTTGCATACTTCAGAAATTTTCAAATAGCTGGAACAACCTTTTAACATACTCCAAAGTGCCTTTGATGTAGGGAGCCTTATTCTTTTTATGATGCTTGGGCTTTTATCTAGCATTGCAGCAAGTTACAGAAAGTAGAAATCATAACACTTTTTTTAATACAGCGGATACCCAAGCGGCATGCAAATAGAACATATAGAACATAACGAGTCTGAAATATCCGTTGAAATATCTATTTCAATGAAATATCCATTGAAATATCCAGTTTGAAATATCCATTCTGTTCTTTCAAGATGTCCTTCAATGAAGGCTGGTACGTATCCTTTACTTACAAGTCCCTGTGACTAAAAATTGTCCAACTGAGATTGAAAAGCACTCTGAACAATTGAGGATCACGGATAATATTTCAATATTTATCATAAAGTAAGAAACATAACTGTTCCTGCTTTGCTATTAAATAGATAAAAACGGCAAAATCCCTTTCAGTCAATATGGATTGCTTTAATAGTTTTTAAATTATTATTCATTGTATGACAATTAAAAAGTAAATCCAATTGTATTCAACAGGACTTATGGCTTGGTAGGAGTTTTAGAGTAGAAGCTTTAGTGTGCAATCCTCTTGCAAATATATTTAGAAGTAAGTCCAACTAAGCTCAGAAGAAGCTTATTTGAAAGCAAATATGCATATGACTGAAGTGTTGGCTATTTAAGCCCTGATTTAAACAAGCCCCGATTAGTTAAGAGGGTTGGTGGCAGGTTTAAAGGACTCGTTATGTTCTATATGTTCTGTTTGCATGCCGCTTGGGCATCTATTCAGCCCAACATTTTGCATAGTCAGCAGGGTTGTTTTTTTTCACAACATAGATTTAGGCTGAAGATTTGGTGGATTTGGTGTGTGTGTGTGTGTGTGTATGTGTGTGTGTGTGTGTCTGTCTACCTATCTATCTATTTCATTGATAATAAAACTTTTTTAAAATGATGAATAATGTTTGTTTTAGTACCTCTTGTTACCTGTTCAACTAACCTAATTTCCCACCTGGATGCTCTTATGACTATACAAACATTCATCTCTTTCTCAAGCTATTTAACAGGCAACAATGGAAATACTCTAACAGGGAAATGAACTTTAAGATAGTTCCCCATTATACTGTATATCTGGCTCAGTTCAATCCTATGCAATGTCCTCTAAGTATGTGGGGTTCCCATTATTTTCATCCAGTATCAGATAAAGGAAAACCACTTAATACAATATACCAATCCTGAAAATGTGCAGATTTTTTCTTGCCAAACAAATATAATTTTTTAAAATACAAAACTCATAACTTCTTAAACTTACTTGCTTTTCTACTTAACTTCTCCTTTATCTGCAGAGCTTTCTTCACTCTAGATGATCTCTTTCCATTTCAGATACAAAGATTTTATACTTGGGAAGGCAGAAGGATTGCTAATGGACAAGTGCAAACATCATTTAAACCAGACAGATATTTGAAAGCTTGGAATGGAGCATATTTTTTTCTAAATAAGTTTTCTGAGTTCTCCAAACTCAGCTTACTCTTTTTCAGATGTGCTTTTTCCAGAAATTCTGAACCAGGTTAAAGCATGAATTCCTAAAATGCAAGCTAATATACTGTTTATACAAAGCAAAAAACAAAAATTTATCATAATCTTCTTCATTAAAGACTATTGCAGAGTGGAATATTGTTCCATATTAACATTGCCAAATGTTTTTACAAAGTAAAAAATTTGATAGTAGTAATGTGGTTTCTTGTTAATGTTTTTATTATTTCTATCCTGTCTTGAAATTCACTGATCAACAACTCATTCTCTTTATGTTTTTGAAAGGTATGATTCAAGCCTGGGATTCGTCCCTCCACCAGATTATGGTATTCCCAAACTTCATTATTTCGAGGACTGGGGAGTTGTAACATATGGAAGTGCTCTGCCAGCCGAAATCAACAGCCCCTTTCTCTCCTTCAAATCAGGAAAGCTGGGAGGACGTGCAATCTATGACATGGTTCACCAGAACAAGTACAAAGAATGGATCAAAGGTTGGAGGAACTTCAATGCTGGGCATGAGCATCCAGATCAGAACTCATTTACGTTTGCCCCCAATGGTGTACCTTTCATAACAGAAGCTCTGTATGGACCAAAATACACATTTTTAAATAATGTGCTGATGTTTTCTCCAGCTGTATCAAAGAGTTGTTTTTATCCATGGGAAGGACAAGTTACTGAAGATTGCTCATCAAAGTGGTTGAAATATAAACATGATCTGGCTGCAGATTGCCAAGGGAAAGTAATTGCTGCTATAGAAAAAAATGACATAATCTTTATTAGAGGAGAAGGAGTGGGTGCCTACCATCCTAAACTAAAGTTGAAAAGCGTACAAAGAAACCTCTTACTTCTTCATCCCCAGCTTCTCTTGCTAGTGGACCAAATATATCTTCAAGATGACAGTCCTGCCAAAATAGCAACTAGCTTCTTCCACAATGTTGATGTGCCTTTTGAAGACACAGTTATTGATAACGTCCACGGAGCCTTCATTCGGCAACAGGATGGGATCTACAAGATGTACTGGATGGATGATACTGGATATAGTCAAAAAGCTATCATCGCCTCAAGAATGTATCCCAGAGGCTACCCTTACAATGGGACAAACTACGTGAATGTCACTACTCATCTGCGTAGCCCAATCACTAGAGTCGTATACCTCTTCATTGGACCTTCTATAGACGTCCAGAGTTTCAGCGTCCATGGGAAGTCTCAGCAGCTGGATATTTTTGTCACCACCAGTGAGCATGCTTATGCCACCTATCTGTGGACCGATGAGAATAAAAGCCACTCTGTTTTTGCACAAGTTATTGCAGACCATCAAAAAGTGGTGTTTGAGCGAGCTTCTGCAATTAGGAACTCCCCAGTTTCAGGAGTAAAGGACAATATTGAGATAGTAGAGAAAAACCTTCAGCATTTCAAGCCTGTGTTCCAGCAGTTAGAGAAGCAGATCCTTTCACGTGTGCGGAACACGGATAGCTTCAGAAAGACAGCTGAACGCCTACTCCGGTTTTCAGATAAAAGACAGACAGAAGAAGTCATTGACAGAATATTTGCAATTTCTCAGCAGCAGCAAGGCAGAGCAAAAAAGAACAAAAAGGTGGCTAAAGGCTACAAATTTGTGGATGCTGGCCCAGATATATTTGCACAAATCGAAGTCAATGAAAGAAAAATTCGGCAAAAAGCACAAAGCTTGGCCCAAAAAGAATTGCCTGTGGATGAAGAAGAAGAAATGAAAGATCTTCTGGATTTTGCAGATATTACCTATGCGAAAGAGAAAAACAGTGTGCCAATCAAAGTTCAACCTGGTCTGTCCCAAATATTTTCCACTACTCGAAGCAGTGCTCCTTTAGTGTCAGCATCTTACACACGTCTTTTCCTCATTCTGAATATTGTCATTTTCTTTATTATGCTAGCAATGCAACTCACCTGGTTCCAGAAAGCCAAGAGCTTACATGGGCAAAGATGCCTTTATGCAATCTTGTTAATTGACAGCTGTATATTACTGTGGCTATATTCTTCTTGTTCCCAATCACAATGCTAGCAAAAAAACAAAACAAGACTGTGAATGCTATTTGACCATTCTATGATTAGGTATGTTTATGCAAAAGTGCAGAATATATTTTCTTTTCTGAATGTATTCCAGAAAATATCTATGGAAAAATTCTCTTTTAATCAGAGAAGATGAAATTAATGGGCATTGAGACATTTGACACATTTCTCAGATTATCACCTATATACGGGTCAAGTCTGTTCTATAAATGAATGTCTTGTGCTTTTATTCTGAATTCAATATGTGCATTTAATTTTCTTCTCCAAAACCAATTTTCTTTGTCACTGAGTTGATTTATTATTTTTTGAACATATGCAACTGGGATGGTTTAATCAAAGTCTACTGATCGCTATCGTATGGATAATCCTCAGATAATAGTCCTCAGTGGTATATATTTCTTTTCAATGTTTTGCCTGTTTTAAAGTACTGTGCTATTACAATTAGCATTTTTTTAAAAGTGTGGATACCATTTCTTCCCAGTTGGCCTTCAGACCTATTTGTTTTGCTTCCACCTTAGTTACGGTACTTTTTGGAGTACAAGATGCACTTTTTCCCCCCCTAAAAGAGGGTGGAAATGTTGCTGTGTCTTATACACCGAATACAGCCATTTTTGGCCTCCCGAAGCCCGGCCCCGTGCGTCCCATTTTTGCAAAAAACGGGCCCACTTTTCACAAAAACAGGACATGCAGAGGTTTTGGGAGGCCTGCAGAGTGCTCCTAGGGGTGAGCCAGGGAGGGCAAAAACTTTTTTTTTCTTGCTTACCTCTTCGAAATCTTGGTGCATCGTATACACTGGTGCGTCTTATAGTCCGAAAAATACGGTAATTGTGAGGACCCTTTTTCAAATGTGACCTGTCATGAGATAGAAAAACCGTCTGGCTAAGAGATGTATCTAACTTTAAATGAATCCTTGTTCCATAGATATTCTCCTTGTATTCAGCCTCTTTTCCCATTAATCTAAGAAAACAATTATGGCTAAAGCATAGCATGTTATCATTTCTTGAGTCCAGGATCCAAACAGTATGGGCATACATGTTATCAAGTTACAAAGTATCCATAATCTAATGTCACAGACAGAAATGGTATTTTTATGAAACATTCCAACAAATTGGGTCCTCATAATTTTCTATAACTGATCAAATACTCAGTGGTCAATGTATATTAATGTGTCAATCAGTTTACTTGAGGAACTATGCAGAATATAAAATGGTTAAGATTCTAGAAAGTAGACGACCACTGAGGATGGAAGAACCTACATCTGGTAGTCATTGATATTGGTATATTATAAGGTTGCATTTAATGCATAAGATGATGTTATTTGTTGCAATGCTTCTCTATAAAAATTGGATCCTTTCCTTGAGAAGCATATTGGAAGTAATTGATAAATGAAGCCTTTGACCTTGCTAGATTTGATATCAGGCCCGTAAGTACTAGATATTGTTCAAATAAGGAATGTTTTCGACAACCAAGAACTTTATTTTAAAGAAAATAATGTTTGTCCCAGATGTCTTTTGCTAAATAAATAATGTCAGTTATGCATATACTTGGTTATTGATTATTACTGTTTGGTATAGAAGATACAAATTCCTCTTTCTTTACACATAAACCTCACATAATTTGTTGCTCAGGAGTAACTTTACAGCCTTAGCATTTCTTAAATATCTCATGGATATGTAAAAGTATTCGGGCACATTCCCAATTCCAAAAAGCAAATAAAATATCAAGTACTAAGAATGAAATGTGGAGTTATTTCTAAGTTGTTTCCATTTAGTTGTTCGCCTATAGACAGAATCTTGCCTGACTAAAGTAATTATCTACATAACTCTAGATATACTCTGTGAACTGTTAGGGAGGGGCCATCTTAATCCTCTTCCTGACTACTAAACTTTCCAAGCTCTGCTGCCTCTTTGCCCTTCTGAGAAATAACCCCTCCCTCCTTGGACTCCAGATTACATTCCACCCTACGTAATGAACTATAGCCTTTGGCTTTATTTATTTATTAGTCCTTGGGCCATATCAAAGTGCAAAGTTCCAGAAACAAATTATTACTAAAATTTGATAAAAGCAATTTAAAATGGAATTGGATAAAATACAATTTAAAATGAAATTGGAATAAAATAAGATTTAAGATGAAATTGGAATAAAATACAGTTTAAAATGAAATTGGAACAGAATACAATAAATTAAGATATAGATAAAATATGATAAAATTATATTTCGGTGTCACCCCTGTAATCTACCCCAATCAGTCCCACATATGCAGATCTCACAAGAACCATTTTGCTTAAGTACTGTGCTGTGTTAAATGTTATTTTCAGATTCTGGCCACACATAAGGTAAGTTGTTTTGATATGGGGATCCTAGTGGGTCATTTGTTTGGTATATGGACCAAGGTACCTGTCTGTCACCTCCTTATACAAGCAACAGTCAAATAGGATGTAAGCCAGATCTTGTACTTCTGCCGCTCCGCAAATGCAGAGATGTTTGTTGTAAGGTATAGAATGCAGGGGTGGGTTCTAAAAATTTTTACTACTGGTTCTGTGGGTGTGGCTTGGTGGTGGGTAATATGACGGTGGGCATGGCCAACTTTTTTTTACTTTTAAAAGCATTTTTTCTACAACCTTAAGAGGTTGCAGAAAAAAATGCTTTGAAAAGCCTCTGCTGATCAGGCAACTCAGCTGAGATCGTCAGAGGCTTTTCAAAGCATTTTTTTTACCACCTCTTGATAAAAAAAGCCGAAGAGGATGCAGAAAACAATGCTTTGAAAAGCCTTTGCCGATCAAGCAACTCAGCTGAGATTGTCAGAGGCTTTTTAAAGCATTTTTTACCACCTCTTCAGCTGAAGAGGTGGTAAAAAATGCTTTGAAAAGCTTCTGACGTTCCCAGCTGAGCCACTGGATCATCAGAAGCTTTTTTTTTTTTTTTACTTTTAAAAGCATTTTTTCAGCCGAAGAGATTGTAGAAAAAATGCTTTTAAAAGAAAAAAAAAGCCTCTGATGAGGTGGGCAGGGTAAGTGAGCAGCGACCATGCCGGGGGCCATTTCAGGGGCATGGCCAGCCAATGTTATTACCGGTTCTCGGAATACTACAAATTTTTACTACCGGTTCTTGTGAACCGGTGCGAACCAGGAGCAACCCACCACTGATAGAATGGAATCTCCCATATCTGACCATTGTGTCGAGCTATTCGAATCTCGCTCGCGTAAATATCTCCCTTAGATGCTTTGGCTGTTGTAACTTCAAACAGCTATCTATTTGCTCAGCCATTTCAAGTTACCCACCTTACTAAGGATAGCTATGTCATTTTGTGATTCTATATCCTTAATTCTTTGGGCAGCTCTTTTTTTAAATTGTTCTGTTACGCAAGAGACAGGAAGGCCACTGCATCTGACAAAATGTGTTAGTTTGGTGATCCAGGAGATTTGTGATTATGATTTTATTTGCTCTAGTAGACATAACTTAGTCTTAGGGAGTCTATCAGTCTCCATTTCATTGACTTTGTGCCAGTAGTTATATGCTCTAATTTTGGATAGTGCATGAGCCATATGAGCCAATTCAAGTACAATATAAGTAATGGTGGTTGGGGGTGGGACAGGAAATTTGGCATATAGTGGACTCACACATTGCATTGCAGGTTTACAATTAGGCATGAGGAAATGAATACATAAACATTCCCTCCGTTGGTCCTATAAAATACAAGTGCCAAACAGCACACTCATCCCTTCTCTGGACTTAGAATATCTTGCCGGTTAAAATTAAATTCAAAACAGAATAGATTCTCTAGATCATTAATAGCAAAGAAAAAAAAAATCCTGTTCCATCTGACTAAAAGATTTTTTAAAAAAGCAATGAAGGTCAGTCAAAGTTTAAGGATTCCAGTGTGGTACACTCTCCGAATATTAGATGTTCCACTGTTTTTTTAAAGAACAAACTGATTTGCTGGGCTACAGACTTCAAAACTGCAGCTGTGTTTGGGTAACATTTATCTATGTTTTGGCTCAGAAGGTTTATTCCAAGTCGGGCTAATTGTCTTCTTTTCTTAAAATGGCTAAAGTCTTTACAAATTTTCAAATTTGTTTTTCTATTTGAACAGAACCTGATTTATATTTCTTTCTGAAACTTGCATGGATTATGTAAGAGCCTGTAACAAGTTGAATAAGCCACATCTTGAAATTTAATATTCATAACAAAAAAAAATCTGTATTTTCTATTCCTTTCCAAATTTTTAAAATTCCATTGTTGCTCATCACATTTTTCCCCACTGCTATTATAATTTTACTGATTAACCATTAGGATATATCAGAATATAAGGTGTCTTTTTCTCCCCCTTCTGTTCACTTGTGTCTGATTCTTGGAGACTGCCTGGACAAGTCCCTGCAGTTTTCTTGGCAAGGTTTTTCAGAAGTGGTTTGCCATTGTCTCCTTCCTAGAGCTGAAAGAGAGGGGACTGTCCAAAGCCACCCATCTGACTTTGCAGCTATGGCAGAATTAGAATTCATGGTCTCCTGATTTCTAGCTTGATGCCTTAACTACCACACTAATACAAAGGTTTAAAGATTAATATATAATTGCGACCAATGTCTTTCTTTTGGCATTGATACATAAAAAAATTGGACAAAGTCATGAAACTTTGTTTTCGTATGTGATAACTGCAGCAAGATTATAGTATGTACAAAGATGGAAAGATTCTGTACTACTACAATGGAGGAATGGTTGGTGAAATTGACAGAATTTGCTGAGATGGTCAACTTGATAGAAAAAGAACACAAGATCCAGCGGTGAAATCAAATTTTGTTTTGTGGGCGTGGCTTGGTGGGTGTGGCAGGGGAAGGATACTGCAAAATTTCCATTCCCACCCCACTCCAGGGGAAGGATACTGCAAAATCCCCATTCCCTCCCCACTCCTGGGGAAGGATATTGCAAAATCTTCATTCCCTCCCCACTGTGGGACCAGGCAGAGGTGGCATTTGCCGGTTCTCCGAACTGCTCAAAATTTCCGCTACCCCAGAACCTGTCAGAACCTGCTGGATTTCACCCCGACAGGATCTATGTTTACTGGATCTATGTGACTGGAAAACCCTTAAGGTCTTTCTGGTAAAACAGAAAAAATAAACATGATTGATGGTTTTAGACAGTATAGAAAGATTATTTTGTAACCATACAGTGTTGGTAAATTTATAATTGCACTTGCTGCTCTAAAGAAGATCAGAAACTTATTTATATCTTCTTTCTTTCTTTTCTTTTTTTTCTTTCTTGCACTTTTTACCCCTCTCTTTCATTCCTTTCTTTTTCTTTTTTTCCTTACTTTGTATTAGTTTGTATTAGTGTGTATGTGTGCTTGTGTGTGTGTGTATATATAATGTAGACTGGCATTAATATTAAAATAAAAATTGAGAAATCCAGGCCTTTATGGCTCAAAAGAGCCATCTAGTGGATATTATTGCAAAAGTAGTTTGCTTTTTTAAAAATAACTTTTATATGCAGAAGAATCTTCTTCCATTCACATTAATGAAGAAATAAGATTTTAGCTTTTTTCTTAAGAACAACTATCACACATATTGGAACAGGACAGGGTCCTCAATTTTAAGATCTGGTGATATTTTGCAATTTCAAAAACTGAAGAATTTTGTGAGCACCTTTGCAAAATGGGGGTTTATCCATTTTCAAAATGACTGCCATCAGGGACATAAGAGTCTAAATTTATGTTCTGCAAGAGCCTATCTGTCATTCTTTATGGCCTCCATCCTGCAGGTTATTTTCTTCTATCCCTTTGTCTTGTTATAGATTGGAGGAGAGGGGAGATTTCCAAAGTATTAGGCTGGAGGCACCCATTACTTTTACCTTCTGAGAAAACTCGGGCCTATTTGCAACCCAGACAAGTCACTGGAAATGAAGAAGATACTGTAGGCTGGCGTTTTGCTCTGTAGCACACCAGCTTCTTGTATATATCTATGACCCTGGTGGCCCAGTGGTTAGAATGCAGTATTGCAGGCTAACATAATGCTCACTGCCAGGAGTTTGATTCCAACAAGTTGAAGATTGACTCAGCCTAACCCTAACCCTAACCCTAACCATTCCGAGGTTGGTAAAATGAGGACCGAGACTGTTGGGGACAATATGCTGACTCTAAACCGCTTAGAGATGGCTGTAAAAGTGATCTAAGTACTATTGCTAGTGCTAAGTGCTATTTCTAGCTTTAGGTTTATATCTGTAGTAACTTCATATACTTGCAGATTAGTTCATCCACAGGTAAATCGAACTCTCAAAACATTTGTATATTTTAATCATCACAATTGATTTATCCATGGTAATCCACAGATGATTTATTTTTCATGGTATTTTAATGAAAGAGTTCAACTATCAGCTTATCTATTGATAGCTTCTTTGCAAATATATAAGTGATATACAGGTAATTTAAAAAAAATAATCCCATCAGTGCATAAACCAAACCCAATATTAGGGTGCATTTTGGCACCTAAAATTCTCAGTTTATTCATGAGTATATATAGTATATCCCTCTATTTTAAAAACCATAGTGTCTGTGAGTGTAGGGAATATCATTGGAAGCCTTTCTAGGCACATGGTCACTCCCAAACCAGGAAAACAGTTGATTGTAAAAACAAGTCATGCTATACTAAGAAACATAGTCCCTTAAGAAGTCTCCTAAGGGACTAATAACTTTGGTATATCTTATTATCAATATTCTGCTGAATACTGATAATACTGCTGAAGTACAGGGGTTCTTCATTCCTTCTTGTATGGAGTAATGGTTAATATCTTCATGGGCATCCATAGAAAACTTAGATGATGTCAAAATGATACATCATATATACATACAGTGATATAAAAGCATTCCAGCATGCAATGCAAGTGGCTTTTCCATCCATCACAATCAATGTTGTGTTGATAAGATGGTTGCACAATTTAAACATCAGTTATCCCCTCTAACTTGTTAATAACAATGTGAGCAATGTTCTTTAATCGTAGTTTATGATCTTTGGATGTTATTAATAAATACCATAAAATCTTGTATATAATCAAAATATCATGAAAAATAAACAATCTCTGGATTATCCATGGATAATTGTAAAAATTAAAATATACAACTATTTTATTTTTTTATTTCAAGCTGCCTAGAATCACTTTCTTGTGAGATGGGCAACTTATATCAGTGAGATATAGATATATCACAGTTGCTGTATCATGATAATTTGCCCATCAAAGAGACCTTGAAACAAACTCTGGTCCCTAAATTGTTATGCTGCTGAACCAGAATAGTGTCAGCTGCAGGTATAAAGTCTTAATAGGACGACACCTAGAATACTACATCCAGTTTTGGTCACCACACTATAAAAAAGATTTTGAGATTCTAGAAAAAGTGCAGAGAAGAGCAACCAGGATAATTAGGGAATGGAGACTAAAACATATGAAGAACGGTTACAGGAACTGGGCATGGCTAGTCTAGTGAAGAGAAGGACCAAGGGAGCCATGATAGCAGTCTTCCAATATTTGAGGGGCTGCCACAGAGAGGAAAGGATCAAGGTATTTTCCAAGGCACCTGAAGGCCAGATAAGGAATAATGGATGGAAATTGATCAAGGAGAGATTCAACCTAGAAATAAGGAGAAATTTTCTGACAGTGAGAACAATCAACCAATGGAACAGCTTGCCTTCGGAAGTTGTGGGAGCTTCATCACTGGAGAATTTCAAGAAGAGATTGGATTGCCATTTGTCAGAAATGGTGTAGGGTCTGCTTGGGCTGGGGGTTGGACTACATGACCTACAAGGTCTCTTCCAACTTTCTTAATCTGTTATCTGAGCAGAACATAATCATGCTTTCTGGCTTTTAGTCCCTCCTATTCAGTTTTGTTTGGTGTTTTACTAATATGTCTCAACTCTTACTAATTCTCATTCTCAAACTTCTGTCTCAATCTGCACAGCCTCTCTTCCACTGTTTAATTCTTCCTGCAAATGAATGCTTACATTTTACATTTCACTTCCCATTTATTTAAAACAATTTGCACTTTCCGAAAAGAGACAGAGAAAGTTCATGTAGAAGAAACCAAAACCACTCTTTTTGCTTTGCAGAGGGAGACTGAAATTCAAATCCCTCAATGCTCAGTCATGATTTTGGGTCGCTCAAACACTTTTGGAACCCAATCTACCTCACAGGGATCTTGTAGGGAAACATTTAAAATATGTCATAATGTTAGCAGCCTTGGGTTTTTGGAGGAAAAGAAGGATAAAAGCTAGCAAGCAAAGAAACAAAATATGGTAAAAACTGTAAAATCATCAAGATGAAACTGATAACCGATGGAATTTGTGGTGAGCATTTCAGATGGATGAAAAGAGCATTACAGCACTGTGACGCAAGATCCATTTTTCTACAAGTGGTACAATGTCACACATATACCCCAAAAGAGTAGTGCTTGCAGCATAACACTGTTTTTAGCATTTTGACTGCAAAAGTGCAACAGGGATGATGCAGATGCACCACTTACAATCATTCATTCAGCAACTGTTGTAAGTTACCATGACATTAAAAAAAAGTAACTTAGATGGATCCTTGCACTTACTGCTATCACAAAATCCCCACATTACACGATCAAAATTCAGCTGCTTGGCAATTGACGTTTAGTTACAACTGTTGCAGTACATCAGGGTCATAGGGTCACCATTTGCTACCTTCCCAGCTGCCCAACAAACAAACGGGGGAAGCTGGATTTGCTTAATGACTGCATGATTCACTTAACAGCTTCAGTCATTCATTTAACAACCATGGCAAAAGAGGTCATAAACTTTGAGGCATTTCACTTAACTACCTTATTTAACAATGGAAATTCTGGTTCTAATTGTGCTTGTCAGTTGCCAATCAACTCTACCTCTGTGTCTAACTTAAGATGAGTAATGGAAACAACAAGAAACTTTAAGGAGGAAGTTTACTTTATACTAAATATAGATCATGCTACAGTTTCAAGAAAACATGTTTGAAGAAAACTGACAGTGAAGAAGTTACTATAAGAAAAAAAAGTTTGAAGAAACAGAATGTTTCAGTATAGAAAGGGGTGAGACAAGGATCATAGTGTCCTGCTTAACTTTTATTAAAATATTTAAGAAAATGAATGATAATAGGATTGGAACAGGTAGTAGGTGAAAGCAAAAGTGGAGAATGAAATCCAAAATTTTAAATATGTAAAATGTACCACCATGGACAACTGCAGAAGGGGGTCAAGAGAAGCAAATGATGAAATGTGCATCACAATATCACAATGCCATTTCACATATTTCTCAGCAACCTGGTTATGAAAATACTGTATGAAAGGATAGATTTTGCATCTGTTTCATCATTTTGACACCTTCATAGTCATAAAATTGAAGAAGCCTATGGATACCATCCTGTTGATTTAAAGTAAAGAATGATACTTTAAAAAAAACAGAATAACACAATAACAGTGTTGGAAGGGATCTTGGAGGTCTTTTAGACCCTCTACTCAAGCAGGAAACACTTTACCATTTCAGACAAATGGTTGTCCAATCTCTTCTTAAAAACCGCTAGTGTTGGAGCACCCACAATTTCTGGAGGCAAGTTATTCCACTGGTTAATTGTTCTGTCAGAAAATTTCTTGTTAGTTCCAGGTTGGTTCTCTCATTAATTAGTTTCCATTCCATTCATGTCCTGCCTTCAGGTGCTTTGGAGAATAGGTTGAGCCCCTCTTCTTTGTGGCAGCTCCTCAAATATTTGAACACTGTTATGATGTCACCCCTAGTCCTTCTCTTCTCTAGACTAGACATATTCAATTTCTGCAACCGTTCTTCAAATGCTTTAGCCTTTAATCCCCTGATCATCTTTGTTGCTCTTCTCTGCACTCTCAATATCTATTTTATATCATAGCAACCAAAACTGGATGCAATATTCCAAGTGTGGTCTTACCAAGGCATTATAAAGTAGGTATTAACACTTCACATTATCTTGATTCTATTCCTCTGTTAATGCAGCCTAGGACAGTGTTGGCTTTTTGGCATCTGCAGCACAAAGTTTATGGTGTACCCAGGAGACTGATTCAGGCTCTTCCAAGTCTTCAGTGAAGGTGAATGATAAAGCTAATAGAGGGCCAGCAAGGATCAGACCTGATCTGGTCCCTGAATTGTTAAGACACATGTTAAAATAATCTCCATAAGTAGGTACCAATCAATAGTTAAAGGAGCAAATGCCTCAAAGGACAGTAATTGAGGAAGATTTTCATAGGGTGGAAAAATGGGCAGAAATCAGCAACATGAATTTTAACAGGGACAAAATCTTACATTTGGGTAAGAAAAAAAAATCAAAGTCACAAGTATAGGATGAAGATGGAAATTCCATTGGAAGCAATATGTATGAAAAGGATTTGCATTTCTTGGCAAAAGCAGAACCCAGGGCAAAAGAGAGACAGTCACACATACAATTCTAACCCAGACAGGGTAGAATTGCTCAGTATCATTTCAGAACAAGAAGCAATGGGTTTGTTTTACAAAGAAGCAGATTCAGTTGGACATCAGAAAAAAAAATTCCTAATGTAAGGAATGGATTTTCTTGGGAAATGGCATACTCTTCTTTGTTTGAGGTGACTGAACAGAGATCAGGTTGGATGACATCTGTCAGGGATGTTAAAATGGATTCCTACACTGGGCAGGTTTTGAATTAGATGAATTCTCTAAGATCCTTCCAACCCCGACATTCCATGATCCTATAATTCTTATTTAGTTGGAAAGAAACTAAGCAGCTGACAGCTTTAACAGATTAATGCTGTATCTCCATTTTACTTGATAGATAAGATATTTGCTTAACCTAGTACAGCATGAACTTTTTTTTTCTTGCCCCAGAAAATGAAAATGAAACTGTGTTCTTCTGAGCAGATATTTTAAAGCTACAAATCTCTTCCTCTTCTCTTAACGGGCTTTTAGAAGTTTCTGATTCTTGAACAGTGAACACAAATCACAGAGCTGAACTGGACCGTTACAGCACCAAATCAGAGGATGGAAAAGTTTCGCCCAGTGCTGGATTTCATGGTCAATCACCAGAAGATCTTGGGCTATGGGGCAGTGTCTCTGCTGACTGCAGGTAGTGAGCGTATCTTTTCTGTGGTGGTGTTCAAATGTCCTTGCAACTCCTGGAATACCCTTTATGGTGGTGTGTTTCTGCTGATGCCAGCCCTTATTCTGTTTCTGCTGGGCTTGCTCCTGAATGTACGTTCTTGGAAGGTGCTCACTGGATGTTGCTCCAAAGGCAGACCATGTAGTTGTCCTCGTGGGAATCGCCTCCAGCGCCGCTTACAAGTGATGGGCTTTGTAATACTCAGTGCTGCCGTGGCTCCTCTCACGTGGATTTCTGTGGCCTTGCTGGGAGGAAGTTTCTATGAATGTACTGCTACTGGGAGCCCCATCTTACAGCAATATGTGTGCAAAGACAAAGGGGAAGAATGCATAAAAATTCTGGTTAAAGTGCCTTGTCTCAGCTCTGTCTCTCCTTCTTCTGAACTGGAGATACTCGCAACCCTTCGAGCTCAATCACAGGTTAGTCTATGGCTTTTTCCAAGTTGGGTGACAGCCAGAGTTCCCATCTTAGAACTCTCCAGGGGTGCTAACTAGACTATTGAAACAGCACCAGGAGCTTTTCTACCAGTTGTTCTGGCAATAGTGGCCAAGTAACTCCATTCTTAAAGACTTCCATAGCATTGCTTCCCTGGCAGCCTGTTTCATGGATTTTAGGTACCAGGTTAGGAGCTTTTTATTTGTTTCAGTTTAAATGTTTGTTTTGATGATGTTGTCCTGTCAGTCAACATCATTAATAGTAAACTAGAGATAACATGATTTTGTCAATTGCTTCCAGCTAGGGAAGCTGTTATATGAGGAAATGAGAAAAGTTGTATCTTTTCCTATCTGCAGAGAAATTGATTGCATTTCAGAGGAGAAATTCCTCACTAGCATCAGAAGGAATTTCCTCCTATTGTGAATTAGAGGGATTTTCTTCTAGTATGCAACTAATAGGGCTATGCAGCAATCTGGATTTGAAGGACAAAAGGTGATTTGGAGTTCATTCAGGCACATACATACCCCCTGTCCTTAAATCAAACATATACTTTCTTGGGGTACTTCTGGTAGCTCCAGATGGTAGCTGTGTAAGCTTTGGAAATAATGCAGCTGATTTAAGGAAATGCCAATAGCTGCTCTTGAGAATACTCTGATTCATTCTGAGATCACCTTATATAGCCTTAACAATAAGAGATGAAAAAGCTATATTACATTTCCATACCTGCTCAGATCCCTTAATTATCCATCTTGTCCCTCCAGTTGTATTGAGAGGCCTCATCTTTACTTTACATCTTCACTTTAAATACCTATTGGGGTTTTGCTATAGTTATCAGATATCTAGGCCTCAAAAATCTAGAGAAACAAGTGTTGATGTGCTGCTTTGGCAGCTCCTGTGTTGAACAGGAAGAGAGAAATATCAGGAGTAAGCAACTGTTAAGAAGAAAGGCTTTAATCTTTCTCCCTACACTGAGGGCTTTGAATTCTAGATTGTAAATACCAATACCAATGCAGATCACTACAATATACACCCAGAATCAAGGTGAAATCCAGCAGGTTCTGACAAGTTCTGGAGAACCGGTAGCGGAAATTTTGAGTAATTCAGAGAACTGGCAAATACCACCTCTGGCTGGCCCCAGAGTGGGGTGGGAATGGAGATTTTGCAGTATCCTTCCCCTGGAGTGGGGTGGAAATGGAGATTTTGCAATATCCTTCCACTGCCATGCCCATCAAGCCACACCATGCCCATTAAGCCACGCCCACAGATCCAGTAGTAAAAAAAATTGAATTTCACCGCTGCCCAGAATGTAAAATGGCGTTTAATCTTGAAGTGCCTTGATTGCAAGCATGATTATTATTTTTATGCTTCTTCTAAAGGTGTTTGGATGGATTTTGATTGCCGGCATCTTCACAGTGGCCCTTCTTGCCACCTGCATTTCTCGCTGCCGTTCTCCAGTCAGCGTTCTTCAACTTGCATTCTGGAAAGTCTACCTGCAGAAAGAACAACAACTTTTTGAAACCATGGCCAAAGAACACGCGTCAAAGTTAGCAGAGAGGAATCTTAAAAGCTTCTTTGATTCCACTGAGTTGGAACCATTTCAGACCCCAAGCACCAAAGCCTGGGATAACATTTCCTCCTTGTTTGCCTTTAATCCTAAAGTCAATTACTACAGTATGATACATAAATATGTCAGTCAAAAATCTCAAAGTGGTAGCATTAAGTCTGCTGAAGGAGATATATACCCCAGTTGTTTGCAATTTGTAGATAGTGCAAATGTTGAAGTCTAAATTTTGTAACAACTGAGAAAATGCCTCAAACAACAGTCTTCCTAGCCTCATAAAGGTGGAAGCGGGAGGCCTATTTGTTTGCAAGAGTTTGTTATTGTAACCTTCTAATAAAAGTAGCATTAGCTTTCATAATTTTGGTTTCCCAGTCTGGTCTACCTTAAAGGGCTGACAAGTATCAAGGCTTGTTAATAGATACATTATGCAATATTTCATTACTTCATTACATGGAGTGTTCCCAATTCTTGCTTGTTTCCCCTCCCCCCCCATTTCTGCACATGTGCTGTTCATGATTCTTGTTGTCAGGTTTTCATTTAATAAGAAGTAAAACATCTGTTCTATCATGAATTTTGTCCCATGTCCTTTCTTCTCCAAATATAGTTTTTATTAAGGATTTTAATTACAATAGTAAAAAATGAATACAAACTAAATTTAGGAGAAAGAGAAGAAAATGGAACAAAGAAGAAAAACGTGCTGGAAAAAGAGAAAAGAAAGGAAAAAAAGAAGAATATAATATTGAAAAAGAAAAGAAATATATGAAGAAATGACTTTCAGCCTTCATTGCAAGTGTAAACAAATATAAATTTTTACCCTGAGAGAGAGGGAGAGAGAAGGAGGAAGAGGAGGAGGAGGAAGGGAGGGAGGGAGAGAGGGAGAGGGAGAGACTTGGATCAAACTTGGATCAAATAAAGCAACTTTATATTCCTTCCTTTTACTTCAAACAGTAACATGAAATATTTAATTCTTAATCTTTAATGCAGTCAAATACTGTGGTAGGATTTAATTTCTCTTCAATTCTTCTATTCCCCATGGCATAGACTTCTTCAAGCTTCTTTTGTAGATTCAATAAGGAAACATTTTCCAGGTCATAGGCCAAGAGGGAAGAAAATCCTGAAGCACATCAGGAAGGGATCGAGGTTGTCTCTAAAGCAAAGATAGACCTCAGCCAGTGCCCTGCTTCAGGTTTTCCAAAATCTTGCTGGTCAGATAGAATAGGAAAAAAATTGAGTTGGCATCTTAATGTCGATTATGTTGAAAATACTAGTAGTTAAGTATCTAATAAAGAAACTTTTACTGATTTTTAATTGAACTTGCTGTGCATAACTGTAGTTTACAGGTGAATATTTCTCCCACATTTTTATGTACAGTATATTCAGTAGGATTCTCAGTGTGAAGTATATTACATCAAGCCAGTTAAAAGAGTAGTGTGGCAAATGAGTTTAGAATTGCAGTTAATACTTCTTACAAGTAAGGCTTTAAAATTGCTATGTAACTTATTAAAAGTAGGAATAGTTAAATACAGTAGGGGGAAAATCTCTCTTTTACTTTTACTTTCATCATCATGCTCAAGAGAATATTAAATGAGTTCTCTTAATGTCTTAATTCTCTAAGTAAAGCAAATAGGATTTTCTCATCTTTTCTTATTAAGATATGTCATCTAGCTCAAAAGGAATTCTTTATTTCAATTTTTTTCCCCCCTAGGAGACTTCCACTCCCAAATCATTGCATTTCTCAAGGATGTGAAATTTAGCTTTATTAATGTTTAGAGCAGATTCCTGAATTTGTAGAAACAAAATGATGAAAAAGGTGAATCTGATTTGGTTCTGGGTTCATGGCACCATAAAACTTGAGAACTTCCCCGTCTTATTAGTGTTATTGCAATTTGTTGTATTTTTTAATCTTTGTTGAAATATGGCAGCTTTTTGAAGAGGTGTTCAGATGTTCTAATTATTAATGACATTGATGTTTATAATTTCAAAGGACTAACATCATGAATGTTTGTGGCAGCCAGTTGTTGCCTGATTTAACCAACACTATAGGGACTTGATGTCACTGTATATTCCAGAGGTCTTCAAACTTGGCAACTTTAAGACATGTGGACTTCAGCTCCCAGAATTCTCCAGCCAGCATAGCTTTTTTTTTTTTTTTTTTTTTTTTGAGTCTGTCATCTGCACCTCTATAACTGTCTGGTTTGGTTCTGCAACCTAACAAGACAGACACAGAGTTCAGAGGATAATTAGAACTGCAGAAAAACCAATTACTACCAACCTGCCTTCCATTGAGGACCTGTATACTGCACGAGTCAAAAAGAGGGCTGTGAAAATATTTATAGACCCCTCGCATCCTGGACATAAACTGTTTCAACTCCTACCCGTAAAACGATGCTATAGAGCACTGCACACCAAAACAACTAGATACAAGAACAGTTTTTCCCCGAATGCCATCATTCTGCTAAACAAATAATTCCCTCAACACTGTCAAACTATTTTCTAAGTCTGCACTACTATTAATCTTCTCATCGTTCCCACCACCCATCTCCTTCCACTTATGACTGTATGACTGTAACTTTGTTGCTTGTATCCTTATGATTTATATTGATATTATTTCCTAATTGCTTATTTGTACCCTATGACTATCATTAAGTGTTGTACCTTATGATTTTTGATGAACGTATCTTTTCTTTTATGTACACTGAGAGCATATGCACCAAGACAAATTCCTTGTGTGTCCAATCACACTTGGCCAATAAAAAATTCTATTCCATTCTATTCTATTTCTCAGTCTCAGCAACTTTTAATATTTGTGGACTTCAACTCCCAGAATTCACTAAGCCAACTGCTAGCTAGGGATATCTGGAAACTGAAGTCCACAAAAATTAAAGTTGCTGAGATTGAGAAGTATTGCTATAAGACATTCTAGCAAGTCAAATTAACTTAAAAAGAGAAGTGCTGCTCGACACATATAACAGGACTATTTTTTAAAAAAATAAATAAATCTATGACAGGATAGAATATTGCTTTTAAGACAGGATATCCTTTTCAAATTGTTCAGGGGAAAACAAGCTATTTCTCGCGAAGCACCAAGGTCTTACAAATCTGTGAATGCTATCATATTGATAGAAGAGATTCTTTGCTTCAGACGAAAGGCTAGATACCAGTAGAACTGCAGAAAACCAGGCTCCCATTTTATTCCTCACCCCCCCCCACCAACCTCCTTCTTGGTATGTTAATTGAAAGGTTACTCTGCCTGCTTTTTACTGTAATGGAATCAAAACAACCCAAAGCATCAAGGGATAATTTTGGTAGCTGCATTTTGTAAACCTGCTTGTGCTACTGTTGAAATAAGGCAACAAGGAGACTACTAGCCTAACTAAAATAATCTCTCAGTCTCCCTTTCTTTTTCCCCTTTCCTATTTTTCAGTCTAAAATTCATTTTTTCCCCTCTCCCCAAGTTCTGCACTGGTTATCAATTTGTGCATATTTCAGTTATCAGTATTTTTCTTAATAAACCTTTGGTTCAAGAGGCATTTTGGTATGACAACTTGCATATTTAAAATATACCTTTCAGTAAACTATGCATTTAGAACTCAGAAGATAAATGTTAACCTCTATAAGAAGTTGCAAATTGGAGTGGTTTGACTAAAATGCAGATTAAATGCCTTCCCGCCTTCCCCCAACTCCAATTTTATCTGATGAATATCCCAGGAATATAGAGATCATTTTGTTGTTGTTAGTTGTGAAGTCGTGCCTGGAGGAACGTGGACAATGTTCCTCCAGGCTTTCTTGTCCTCTACCATCCTCTGGAGTCCATTTAAGCTCACCCTACTGCTTCAGTGACTCCATCCAGCCACCTCATTCTCTGATAGAGAGATCATAGGCGCAAGAATTGAATTGTTTTAAAGCATATTTTAGGTTTCAAGCTAAAAGTTATAGTTAAAAGAAAGGTCCACCTTATTTGCGAGATTCATAGGAGATGGACCAGCAACAGAACTTCTCAGGAATAGTCCCCATTTTGTGCAAAATCTTACCCCTGATAAGTATAGGTAGGTCCAACTATGTTCCAGCAACAACGTAGTGCTATTTGAATGACCATAGTATCTTGAGTATCGTCATTATGTTAATCGTTGCATTTATTTTGCTGTACTTTTACATTTGTAAACTGCTCAGAGTCCATATGGATCAAAAAGGCTTTATAAATTTTGTTAAATAAATGAATAAAGAGGGCAATTGCATATATCCATCCTTCCATATATTTCAAATCAGGATTCTTGGAAATTGAAATTTCCCATAGGTTTTTTTTTTTTTTAAATAATACCCCAGGAACTAGTTTTCAAAAACGTAGAATTTTTGCTCAGGAAGTCTTTGGGTCAGGGGTGAAATGCTCCTGGATCGGACCAGATCGCCCGATCCGGTAGCGATTTTTCCCTGTGGTTCGGTGATCCAGTAGCAATCGCTGCCCGGGTGTTTTTTTACCTTCTGTGCATGCAGTTTTTGTGCATGTGCAGGTTTTTCCGCATGTGCAGAAGGTGTGCGCGCACATGTGAGGCGTGTGTGTGCTTCTGAACCAGTAAGGAAGTAAGTAGATTTCACCCCTGTTTTGGGTGGATTATTTCTCAGAATCCATATTTCTGTTGAAGTTGCATAATGAAAGCTACATTTCTTACCTAAGTCTTGATCCTACTTTTGCTCACTAAACGTTATGTCAGAAGAAGTGTTTGGTAAACCTCTATCATAAACAAAGGTAATTATTTAACACATAGTTTAGCTTTTGACAGAATAATAATCTCCAAACAGAAAAATATATTTTACATTCTCATATAATTTCTTCAGTTCATGCACAATTTGGTTCAGATAATATATTTATATATCTCATTCACCCTTTCCATTTCTTTAAAATTATACACATCTTCAAATCCAAAGGATAAAATAATAATAATAAAAAAAAAACACCCCAATTGGCAAGTCCTTTTATCAACAGAGACAGCCCAAGCAGAAGCCAGTCAGAAGCCTGACAAAAAATGTGGGCATCATTTTGATGGTAACTCAAGAAATGCAAGAGTCAAAAGTGAGGAAGCAGTCTTTGGATGGTGTCAGGGAAGCAGTTAGGGGTCCTGGGTAGGGAAAGTATTAGGGGTTTATTAAGTAGTTATTACATTTTGCTTCTAAAGCATCTTGAGCTTATTTTAGGGCTGCATTATCTTCTTTTACATTGCCTACCTCATGACATTAATTTGGGAAAGGTATAATTGCAGGGAACTGTAACAAACATGGAAAGGTTTGGTGGTTGCATTTAGTCCTACTTACTACATTTCATGGAATTATCTGGTCTGAGAAAATTCCCTCAGGCAATTCCTCAGGAGAATTATCATCCTAAGAGTCCTAAGAAAACCTTGTTCCTCACAGCACTAGAATTTACCTCACTGAAACAGCTATAGCACAGCTCCAATATGAAGCAGCATGCAAGGATATTTTTCAGGGAGCAGAGATTTTACAGATATTCACCACTCAATTCCTGGTAATAAATACATTTTAGAGCACTACACTTATTAAATTCCCATATGCTAATTTCTTGTTCCTTCAACAAGCTTCTGGGTATGCATGGCCTGGACTAGAAAAACTGTTTATTTTTAGTCATGTTCTGGGTGGATGGTCCTTCCTGTATTGGAAGGTTCCTCTTTTAGGCAGCTGTAGAGGCTTGGCTAACCCTATATACATAATTATTTCTGATAACAGTTTCATTTATTTCTCTTGTATTTCTTGGTTTCAGCCTTCTTCAAGAATGTGATTCGGATTTCTGTCACATCATCTCCTTTCAGAGTGTCTTGAAGAAAAATCACGTCAGCTGCTAGGTGTATCTGAAAATAAAAAGTTAAATAGATGTCACAGGGAGAAAAGTTCACAATGGCAGGAAAGCCATACAATAATGGGGTATTTTATTTATTTGTTAAATATGTATTCTGAGATTCCACCAAATAAGGCTTGGAAACAGAATAAAGCTTTTATCTGGTGCTGAAAACATGGGTGCAAATCAAAATGTGATATATGTATACTGTTAAATATCCATGTACTATTGTACTTATTGGTTTTATCTTTGCCTTCCAATTTTTTAGGGCACCATTTCTACACCTCCTATATGAGATCCAATTGCAAATATGATAAATTTAGCTCATATATAGAAATCTAAGTGCTTTTAAATATACAGGTCAATTACACCATGAGATTCATTCATTCATTCATTCATTCATTCATTCATTCATTCATTCATTCATCATATTTATATAGCCACCTATCTCACAATCAAGTGACTCTGAGAATACAGATATAGCGACTGGGGAAAATCAGAAGGTGTTCTTTGTTGATTTGTTTTGTGCCTTCAAGTTAGTGTTGACTCCTGGCAATAGACTGGAAAGTCCCTGCAGTTTTCTTGGCAAGATTTCAGAAGAAGTTTGTTGCTGCTAGTACAGAAAGAGTAATTGGCTACATCCAGCTGAGACTAAAACTTAAGGTCTCTTAAGGGGGGGGGGGAGGATGACAGAAAAGGGCAGAGTAAGAAGAGCCAGTATCCATTTTCTTACCATTTCCAGAGCCCCTCTGATGGTCCCAGACAACAGGCTGCAATAGCAAAGAGATGATCGACTTGCTGGTAGCTCCTCCACAAAGTCCACTAACGGATTCTTGGCCAGAATGAGAGAAAACTCATTTCCCATTGCATTGTTGCAAGTCACAGTAGGGGTGACACCCAGATACATCTTAAAAGCAACCTGTCAATGAAATGAAAAATGTGCGCCATGTCATCACTGGATCAAACCATAAATTATGTTAAATAAATTTGGACATTTCTTCTATTTATTACAGGTATGAACCTGTATTTTCAATCAATCAAAGAAACAATAAATCAGAATAGAGCAGGAAGGAACCTTGGAGGTCTTCTAGACCAACCTCCTGCTCAAGCAGGAGACCCTATACCATTTCATATAGGTGACTGTCCAGTCTCTTCTTAAAAACCTCCAATGATGAAGCACCTACAATGTCTGAAGGCAAGCTGTTCTACTGATTAATTGTCCTCACTGGTTGGAAGTTTCTCCTTAATTCCAGTTTGCTTCTCTCCTTGATTAGTTTCCATCCATTGCTTCTTGTCCTGCCCTCTGGTGCTTTGGAAAATAAGTTGAGCCTCCTCCTCTTTGTGGCAGCCTCTCAAATATTGTATTTGGGATTTTCATTAAGGGAACTATTGAATGCCAGGAAGATTAATGTTTACAGCCTCCTCAGCATAATGTTGACAACACTTATTATTTCATTTGCAATAATTTTAGGGGTGAGGCTGGGGGGTGAGAATTCACACTGATGCCAATGGGGGCTCTCCTTCTCTAGAGTAGCGGGTGTATGTGATCATCATGATTTCAGCTGGAAAGAAACTAATTCACAATCTGAATGAAAACAACTCCCTTGGTTATTGCGTTAAAAAAAAAAAGAAATAAATAATTCCAGGCACACTTATTGGCTATGTCTGTTTAGAATCATGCTTCTTTCTGCAGTTCTGCAAAAAATAGAAAATATGTTTTGTTTTAGTTCTCAAACCTAACTATCCCATCTGGAGTGTTCCATGGAAACAGTTTGAGTTTGTTGCACTTTGACAAGAAGAAACCTAAACCAGTTTAAGCATTCTGTATTCCAGTGAAGCAAATATTGGAACACTTCAAGTGTCTGAGTCAAAAGGGACAATGGGAATAGAGAAAAAGATTCTTATTCCTTTCTTTTCACCACAGGATCACAAGAACAGAGAGGGTAGCAGTTCATACTGAGTGCTACTATTGAACCAGTTTGCAGAAGAATTGGCAGGAAGAAAAAAGGGAGAAAATGATAATTCTTATCACAGAATCTTTGGTTCGTGATCCTTCTTACCTTGCTTCTTTGGCTTCAGAAAATTATTTCTTTAACCTGGGTTATGCTAATTGAAAAATTGTTAGGAGATACTAGTAGGTTGGCTGTCTTAAAAAAAAACACTCATGAAAATTTAATTTTATTAGAAGGTCTCACAGTATCTATTTCTAAAACAATTATCTTCCTTAGAACAGGAGAAGATTGTGCAAGAAAATAAATTCTTGTCAGTCCATTAGCACAAAGGGAGTTTCTTTCAGAAATGTTTTAATGTAATGTCTTTTTAATCTAAGTTAAACCTGAGTGCCCAAGAAAGTGTAACAGTAGTGATGTATTATGTTTTATATGAAGATTATTATATGAACTATGCTTTTTCAAGTTGATTAAAAATGGTCAGCAATATAGATGAATCTAAATCTAAAATTCCTATTTAATCAATACTTGATCATGGAAAGTACCATTCTTTTTTCAATCCTTGGTAGCCATCTTTTCAGCCAAAAATTAGATGCCTATCTTAATACATTGGTCAGGACCTCACTGAATTCCACTAAGAAATGGAGCTCATTTTGACCATGAATACTTTAAGGACTATTGAAAGAATCCTGCTTCCTCTCCCATAGAATATTCTTAGGACAGCAGTTTTAGTTCTTTGGTCAATCATGTTTGCTTGTGAGTCAGGCACATTTTCCCCTGAGGTGTGAAAGGTCTTACTTGGATACTTAAAAATCACTTAACCATCAATTGTCCACGTGTATCTTTTAGTCCTTTAGTAAAGACCATAATCTTGGTTGCAAAATAAGATTACAAACTAAACTCATTTATGATCTGTGGTGGCACAGTGGTTAGAATGCAGTATTGTAGGCTAATTCTGCTGACTGCCAGTGGTTTGGCAGTTCGATTCTCACCAGGCTCAAGGTTGACTCAGCCTTCCATCCTTTCGAGGTCAGTAAAATGAGGACCCAGATTGTTGGGGACAATATGCTGACTCTGTAAACTGTTCAGAGAGGGTTGTAAAGCACTGTGAAGTGGTCTAAAAGTCTAAGTGCTATTGTTATTGATATCAAGGCAATACTTTAAGCAGGGGTCAGCAACCTGCAGCTCTGGAGCTGCATGTGGCTCTTTCACCTCTCTGCTGCGGCTCCGTCACTCAAAATATGTGTCACAACCGCCAAAGTGCGACACCCACTGGCACACGATTTATTGAGCTTTTTAAGCCCCAGTAGAGGCCAACCATGAATAAATCGAAGAAAAGAAAAGTTTCAGAAGAAAACAGAACATTTAATTCAACTACATATACTAGTTTTGTGGCCGCTCAAGAAATAGTCAGGCACAGGAAGGGTTTTGTGGCTCCCGGTGTTTTCTTTTCTGTGGGAAACAGGCCCAAATGGCTCTTTGAATGTTTAAAGTTGCAGACCCCTGCTTTAGGGACTTTCCATTGTCAAGAAGGACTTCAAAGCAAGGTTCCCCAACCCCCCAGTCTCTGGACTGGCACTTGTCCACGGCAGCATGCCAGTAACCAGGCTGCGCAAACAAGTGAAGCCCCATCTGTGGGATGCAGGCAGAACACGAAATTACACACCCTCCAGTTCACGGAAAACCGGTCCCTGATGCCCAAAAAGTTGGGGGGGCCACTGCTTTAAAGTATCCAGCCTTGCTATAATTTCCCTTTCCTCTAATTGAGGCAAATTTTTATAATAATCTGTCAAATTAGATTCTACACCGAACATTTCGTCCTTATTGAAGTAGAAACTTCTATCAATTCTTTTGTTCTTTAATGTAGTATAACCTACACTACCTTTTTTTCAATAGATTCAGGGACATTAATCTCAAATTATCTGAGTACAGATGGTCCTCGCTTACAACAGTTCATTTATTGACCGTTTGAAGTTACAACGACATTGAAAAAAGTGACTTATGACCATTTTTCATACTTATGACAGTTGCACCATCCCTATGATCATGTGATTTACATTCGGATGCTTGACAACTGGTTCATAGTTATGATGGGCACAGTGTCCCAGGATCACGGGATCCCCTTTTACAATCCTCTGACAAGCAAAGTCAATGGGGAATCCAGATTCACTTAACAACTGTGTTACTAACTAAACAACTTCAGTGATTCACTTAACAACAGGGGTGAAATCTACTTACCTTCCCAACTGGTTTGGAAGTGCACGCGCCGCACGCATCACATGCACGCACGGACTCTCTGCACATGCACAAACCCTTCTGCACACGCGCAGGGGGTAAAAAACAAGTTACTTCCTGGTTAAAACCAGGAAGTAACGACGACCGGGCAGGTCGGTGGAGTCTTGTGCCACCATCGCTAGTGGTTCTCCGAACCACCGGCCGCCATCGCTACTGGCTCAGCCGAACCGGGAGTATTTTACCCCTGCTTAAGAAATGTGGCAAGTAAAGTCATAAAATGGGGCAAAACTCACTTAATGAATTTCTCACTTAGCAACATAAATTTTGGGCTCAACTGTGGTCGTAAGTTGAGGACTACCTGTATTAAATTTGAAGTCAACTTCTGCTGTTAGCATATTGGGGATTATTGAGTTCATCTTCTATACTGGAAATCTCTACTGAACTTTTGGTTAAAGAGGAAGTGGAATTTCATAATATTGGATATATGCTGAAGTTGTCTCTATGATGGTTAGATCAGTTCTTAGTTCCTTAACATCATCTAGACCTCAGTTAGGAAGTTTATGCTCAACACCTAAAAAGCCAGAAGTTGAGAATCACTTTAATTAGGTCCCTGACTGTATCTGGACTTGAGTTCCATTTATGTTAATGCAATCTTTCAATATTCCTGCTATCTGCTTGGTTGAAATCATAGTATTGTATATACAGCTGCACTTGTGTAATATTCTATTCCTTCATAAGGTCTGAGAAGTGACTTATCTTCTTTATTAATGTTACTTCCCCACAGTGATCCACACAGCCCCACAGAAGGCAATGAGCTGTCTGTCATTATTCATCTGCTCTGTGACATGGCTTAGTTATCTTCAGGAACAGGTTTGTATGGTTTGGACTTTGATGGAATATAATTAAACAATCCTGAATCAATAGACATAGCCACAGATCTCTAAACACAACAATATCTGCAGGCTAGCCAGATCAGGTTCATTCTGTACAGTGTGCTGTTGAAAACTCAGTAGGATCCTGTTCTATTAAAAGGGACCAGAAAACCATTCTACTCATTTTAAGTCATGGGAGTTGGTACTAGATTCGTGATGACGAACCTGTGGCACGCAAAGCCCTCTCTGTAGGCACGCACGCCATCGCTTCTGGTTTCCAGTGCATGCATGCTCTCTGGCCAGCTGGTATTCGGGTTTCCGGTGCTCTGGCGTGCGCGAATGCGTACGTGTTCTAGTTTGGGTACTCGGTGTTGAAAAGGTTTGCCATCACTGTACTAGATAATCTAAAACAATGTTCAGGGAATGAATTATGCATGAGCTACTTGGGTTGATAGACTTTATGTCTGTATTCTTGAATAATTTCTAGGTTTGAAGTGAGGCTTTTATACTCTTTGAAGACTTCTTGCTGTCTGCCAAGTTTCTTCAAAATATTTAGGCTCCTCTAAGAATAGAAAACATAGTATGCTGTTTTTATTAATGGCTCGGTGATGGCCACTTTGATGTTCTATCTTAGAAGACAATTCAACTTGCTTCTTCTTAGTCTTCTCTTTTGTTTTATTGGAATTGGAATGCAGTGGCTTCTTCTGGTACATTATTTTGACCACTGTCAAATTTTCAACATCCATTGAACTCAAACCTCCACAACCGGGAAAATTACAAAACCCCAAGTAAATCAAAATAAATAACTAAGCTTCGTTTAACGCTGGGAAGAACAGAGCTCAGAAGAATTATAACAAAAATATTTTCTCATCATGAGCTTAGATGTTCTTCCCTTGCTCAACAAAGCCCTTTTGCTTAAAAGGTCTGTGCTAGAAAGGAGGAAGAACTACAGCAAACACAGTGAATTTAAAAAAAAAACACATTTGCAGCAAAATATACCATTTGCTATATCAACAAGTGTGTATACAGAATGCATATACACCTAAGTTAAGAAAGCCAACCAGAATGTAGTGGTTTGAATTTTATAATACTCTCCAAGGTATTATAGGTATCTCTCAAACAAACAAACAAACAAAAAATAAGAGAATGCAGACTCCAAAATATTCAGTGTATGACCAAACCAACATATAAACATAAAAAACTTTGAGAAAAGCTTAGTTATGTTCATGTACTCTGTGTATGTTGTTCATACACACCAACAACCTCAACAGGCCACTCAAACTAATACTGGACTAAGTAACAATGACAGAAGGAATCAAAAAAGGCAAGTCTTTTTATGTCAATGCATGTAGCTTTTTTAACCCTTCCCATAAAAAGTGACTTTTTATGACTGAACGTTTTGCTTTTATATCCCACCTATGATTCTTTTGAAGGCCACACAGGCTTAAACTCACCCACACAACGTTTACCTTGCCCATAGTAATCTCTACAAAAAAACAAACAAAATAGAAGTAACTTTTGTAAAGGAACCATTTGGTGAAATAAATAAAATAAAAAATGTCATAGCGAGTGGAGAATTGGTCAAACATAAGAGGGACTCTCTCATTACAGGTAGTCCTCGACTAACGACCACAACTGACTCCAAAATTTATGTTGTTAAGTGAGACATTTGTTAAGTGAGTTTTGCTCACTTAAAAGTGTCCACTTTACAAGCTTTCTGGGCACAGTTTTAAAGTGAATCACTGCAGTTGTTAAGTTAGTAATACGGTCGTTAAATGAATCTGGCTTCCCCATTGACTTTGCTTGTCAGAAGGTCACAAAAGCTGATCACATGACTCCAGGACACTGCAGCCGTCATAAATATGAACCAGTTGCAAAGCCTCCGAATTTTGTTCATGTGACCAATGGGATGCTGCAATGGTTGTAAGTGTGAAAAACGGTCATAAGTTACTTTTTTCAGTGGCGTTGTAACTTTGAACGGTCACTAAATGAAATGTTGTAAGTTGAGGACTACCTGTACACCATGTTTCTTGAAATGTCTGCACCAGCCCAGTTTGCTGCAACTCTGTACACATTTTCAGTTATACAGAATTGAGAAAAATAATTACAGGGTAGATTTGGGATAAGTGTTGAAAGAATCCAATAGAAGCGTTAACTCAGGAAGAAATGTTAAAACACTCAAGGTTGAACACTGAAGCCTCAACTTCACTGTTAAAAAAACCACAAATATCATTAACAATATTAAAAAAAAATTGGGGGAAAAGAATTTCAGTATTTCAAGCTTCCCACCTGCTGAGCACCAAACCCTAAAAAGCTAATTCAAGAAGTGAATCCTGAGCGCTGCTACAAGGTGTGTGAATTACAACATGTCGGTGCTGATGTCACTACAGGCATCTTAGCATTTATTCCCCTGCCAGGTTTCTTCTTTGGACTCAGAAAAGGGCTATATTAAAAAATAAAACAGTTTCTTTCACTAAGAAAAGGATAAGCCCAAATTTAAAGAGAAAAAACATCAAGTGAGTAGAAATAAGTTTATTATGTTGCTGTTTATTTTCGGGGGGATGTACTGTTCTAAATGTTCTTTCTTTTCTGATGCTTTTGTCTCAATTATGCACTAGGTCTCTCTTTTTTTTTTAAAAAAAAAATGCTTTTGATATATTTGTGCCATAACAGTTTAAAAATTGGAATACAAATACTCCAAAATCAGCTCAAGGCAAATGCATATAACTGTAAAAACTCTACTAATGTAATTCTTAGGCACATATTTGGAAATTGGACATGGAAATTGCCTGAAGGCAAATGGTACAATCACAAGGCTAAGATAGCTCTTCCCAATTAAATCTCTTTCAAGTGCTTTGGAATATAACTTCGAAATTTCCCACCAATATTTCTATTAGCTGGGAATAATGAAAATTGGAGTGACACATGTAAGAAAGGGAGCGTAAGAGAGATCTCTGGGTCTTAGAAAGAAATAGGGATATCTGAAAATATTAGTAATGATGAGCAGATGGATATTTTAATGTCAATCTTATTTGGGAAAAGGGTGGATAGCCCTTCAGTCTTCTATTCTGGAAAAAGAGATGCAAACAGCTCTCGGAGACCCTTATTTGCTAATAAATGAGTACTGAAGTTTGGGCTCATTCAGTTTCTCTGATTCTCTATAGCAGGGGTGTGAAATTCAAGGTCCATGGGCCCAATGTGGTTGGATCTGGCCCACGAGGTTGTCCTGGAAAATGTAAGGGGCTGGCCCGTGTCGCTTTGGCCCAATCTATCTGCGTCGCTTCGGCCCAGTCTACCCAATGCAAAGAGGAAACATCAGGCCAGCATCGCTCCGGCCTTCTCTATCCAAGAGGAAACATCGGGCCAGTGTCACTTCAGCCTGGTCTAACCAAGAGGAAACATTGGGTCAGCATCGCTTCAGCCCGGTCTACCAGTGTCGCTTCAGCCCAGCCTACCCAATGCGAAGAGGAAACATCGGGCCAGCGTGGCTTTGGCCTGCTCTAACCAAGAGGAAACATTGGGCCAGTGTCACTTCAGCCCGGTCTACCAGTGTCGCTTCAGCCCAGCCTACCCAATGCGAAGAGGAAACATTGGGCCAGCATCACTTCAGCCCAGTTTACCCAATGCAAAGAAAAAACATCGGGCCAGCATGGCTTCGGCCCAGTCTACTCAGTGGAAGAACCGAAAGAGGAAACATGCCAGAAGTTTGGGGAGTGGTGTCAAGCTGGTCACTCCCACCCAGTCAGCCACGTCCACCGTCCCCAAGGTCAACCACAGCCCTGATGCGGCCCTCAATGAAATTGAGTTTGACATTCCTGCTCTATAGTAACCTTTACCTTCTTCACATTAAAGCTAACTGTCAAGTTTCCGAAAGATGCCCTAATTAACGTGTGAATCTTTCTGGGTTATAGTCTGCTGTTAGGGGGCCAGACTAGAAATTAAGTGGTACGAATTTGGTTCAGCCTTGGCAAATGAAGGCGAATCAGTATTTTTGGGTACCTGTGCAATTATGTCTGCAGTTTCAGAATAACTGCGGCACTTCTTCACAGCAGAGCGAGCCAAGAAATCTTCAACCAATCTGATGCCGATGCTGTATCCCCTGACCAAGGAGAAAAGAGAGAAAAAAGGTGAAAAGGTGCCAGGGGAAAAGGTGCAAGGCGCCTGACAGTTAATGTGAATATAAAATGAACACATGGCACACATTGTCCCAAGCATAAAGGCAGGATAAAATTCATAGATAAGATGCCGTGTATAGATTAAGATGCCATGGCAAATTTTCTACGAGCAGATTACAATAAGAGTTTGTTAACAGAGCATTTTGAAACTTTAGCCTTGTCTTTTTATTATTATTATTGTTCTTCCTGCTGACTACTTTGTCATTATTATAGTATATAGAAGATATATACTCAATAATTTGCAAATAGATTTACTAGTTTTAAACATTTTGGAGGGGGGCTGTTTTCCAAGGAATGGGGACCAATATTGTAGTAATGAATTAATCAGTATTCCATTAGGGGGATACCGTGTGTGTGTGTGTGTGTGTGTGTGTGTATGTTGGGTTTTTTCTTTTTCTTTTTAATGCACTTTATTAATGTCTTGATTGTTTTGTGGTTTTTAGTCTATTTTTGGATTTTTTTTAGATTTTTGTATTTTAACATTCTTTTGAATAAAATAAAAAATAGTAGAAAAAAGGCAGGATAAAATTCATAACTGTCTAAGCAATGAAAGAGTATGACTCCAGTTTGAAGAAAACAATATTTTCTGGAATTTGGGGCATTTACTGTTCTTTAAATGAAAGAAGAAAGAGAGGCTCTTAGATCCAAAAACAAATATTCATTTCCTTTACTCTACCCACAACAACCATGATTAACGGTGGCACAGTGGTTAGAGTGCAGTACTGCAAGCTACTTCTGCTGACTGCCAGGTGCCTGCAATTTGGCAGTTCAAATCTCACCAGGCTCAAGGTTGACTCAGCCTCCATCCAGGGGTGCTATTCAGCAGATTCTGGAGAACTGGTAGCAGAAATTTTGAGTAGTTTGGAGAACTAGCAAATACCACCTCTGGCTGGCCCCAGAGTGGGGTGGGAATGGGGATTTTGCAATATCCTTCCCCTGGAGTGGGGTGGGAAGGGAGATTTTGCAATATCCTTCCCCTGGAGTGGGGTGGGAAGGGAGATTTTGCAGTATCCTTCTCTGCCATGCCCACTAAGCCACGCCCACAGAACCGGTAGTAAAAAAATTTGAATTCCACCATTGCTTCCATCCTTCCGAGGTAGGTAAAATGAGGACTCAAATTGTTCGGGGCAATATGCTGATTCTGTAAACTACTTAGAGAAGGCTTTAAAGCACTGTAAAGCGATATATAAGTCTAAATGCTATTGCTATTAAAGGTACTAGGAGAAATATCAGGTAAAGTAATTCAGGCAAAGCAGCTTCATTATTTCCTTTCCTTTCCTTTTTTATTTTTTATTTTCTATAACTTTCCAACTGCAACATCAGGGAGGCAGAGAAAGAACATTAGCACTTTAAATGTTTGCTTTTTGGCTTGAAGTGCAGATAAATTTTAATTAGTCAGGACTTTCATTAGTTTAGGGGGCACAGCCTGAATACTTTTGCACACTTCTATTGGCCAGCTGAAAGCAACACTGATTGGCTTATAGCAGGGGTGTCAAACTTGATTTCATTGAGGGCCGCATCAGGGTTGTGTTTGACTTCGAGGGGCTGGAGTGGATGTGACAAGGATGGGTGTGGCCAGCTTGACATCACTCATGTCGGAGGTGCCTATAGTGGCCCAAGTGCTCTGCCAGCAAAAACAGGCTCCTGAGCTCTGTTTTCAGCTGCGACGACCCCCTGCAACCCTCTGCCAGCGAAAACAGAGCTCGGGACTTCTTGCGAGGTCCATTTTTGATGGTAGAGGCTCTGCGGGCTGGTCCTTCAATGTTTCCAGGGCAGCCCCGTGGTCCAGATCTAAGCACCCTGCAGGCCAGATCTGGCCCGCGGGCCTTGAGTTTGATACCCCTGGTTTATAGTGATCTTTGAATTTTTGTAGCATTCCGAACTCAGGAAAATAGAGAGGATTGGATGGTCAGCTTCAAAACAGGCTGGAGAGTAGAAACAGAATCCTATAGCCGTTTCCTAAGCTGATATCTACACTCAAGTAAACAGACTGAAGAATAGGGAAAAGATAACTAGTCATTTTTCCTCAAATTTGTCATGCTGCTTCTTGCCATCTTATACTTACATGCTGTCCAAATATTTGTTTACATCTTCATCCTTTTCATAATCTTTACACAGTTGGGCTACCAAAGCACCGTAGGTGAGCACAAAAAGCTCTCTACTCTGTCAATCACAGGAAATACTGAATGAGAATTGAAGAAAAACATACAATCTTCTACTTCAAGAGCAAGTAGGATATATATATATATTTGTAAAAGAGAACTCAGACAGAAGCTAGATTCACATATAATACAAATCCAAAAAGTGGTTTTGCTTTATCGCATTGAATGACCCCGTGATTGTGACTTGATAATCAGAGTTTATTATCACTCAATCTAAATATGACTCCGGCCACACTTTTAGTGCAATATGTCAATCCAGGCAGTATCCATTGCACAACTGCATTTGTGCTGAAAAAAATAATGCAACCATATCTGCCAGTATGAATCCCTCAAATATCCCAGGACCCACAGACAAAAATTAGGATATATGCATTAGTCAGTCTGCATACCATGTGATGAGCTGACGCAGAGGATGAAATGGTGGGCAAATGCCAGTCCTACAACATAAAAAGAAGTAAAAGAAGAGGGAGCACAAAAGATCTTAATTTTTTTTAAAAAAATTACTTTTTAAAGAACAGTTTATAATGAAATGAAAAGGCAATTCACTAACCAAAAGAAAAAAAATAACAATAAACTACTTAGTGAGAAATAATACCAACAAGGAGCACAATAGAATTTAGCTCTTAGCTGGAGTTAGGAACTAGGTTCACACCAGAATCAGTCCTGTTAAGGCACCAGGCTAGAAACCAGGTGACAGTGAGTTCTAGTACCACTTTAGGCCTGAAAGCTGGCCTGGTAACAGGCACTCTCTGTCAGTCCAACTCACCTCACAGACTTGTTATGGGGAAAATAGGAGGAAAATGCAGTGTTAGCTATGTTAGTCGCTCTGAGTTATTTATTAAAATGATAAAGGTGGGATATGTAAATTAATACATATAATATTTCTGTATAGAATATTGCTTCAAATGCATATTTTCTTTTGGGCAATATAATATAATGCCGTGTTTCTCAATCTCAGCAACTTTAAGATGGATGGACTTTAAGACCAAGAATTCCCCTGAGATTGTGAAATACCAATAGCTATGGTATGAGTTTGCATAAGGGATGTGGTGGCTCAGTGGCTAAGATGCTGAGCTTGTCGATCAGAAGGTCGGCAGTTTAGCAGTTCGAATCCCTAGTGCCACGTAACGGAGTGAGCTTCCGTTACCTGTCCCAGCTTCTGCCAACCTAGCAGTTCGAAAGAACATAAAAATGCAAGTAGAAAAACAGGGACAACTTTGGTTGGAAGGTAACAGCGCTCCGTGCGCCTTCAACGTTGAGTCATGCCAGCCACATAACCATGGAGATGTCTTCGGACAGCGCTGGCTCTTCGGCTTAGAAATGGAGATGAGCACCGCCCCTAGAGTTGGACATGACTAGCATCCATGTGCAGGGGAACCTTTACCTTTATGAGTTTGCATGAGTGATATTTGCTTCTATTTGAGAAAAAAAAAAAAAAAGACCAAAAATTTTAAAATATTACCACTTCTGGTGTTGCCACCTGGTGGCCTAGAAGAAAAAAAACATGAAGACCTGTCCAAAATATCATGAGCTGAAATTATTTGAGAGGCAAAATGACAGCATCTTCAATAAAATTTCTGCTTAGACCATTCAAATATAGATGCAGAACATTGGGGGGTGGGGGGTGCCTCACTGAAAATTGCCTCAGCTGGAAACCAGCTCCTTACAAAACATCTTGCCATCTAAAAGACAATTCAGTGTCAAAATGATTCAGAGAACTAGAAAAGTTTAAACATTAAAAACAGGTGCAAGTCAGAAAAGTCAAAACAAAATATAGACCAACAACATCTTTTTCTTTCCCTGATTCTACTTGCAGTGGGCATGGCTGAGGGATTAAACATTACTCTTTGCACTGTTAAATATATTTTAATCAAATCATATCACTTGTCCTGCATTCATCAAAATATACTATACTTCTAAGATCTGGATTCACATCCTTGGGTAACCAGAAGGGAAATTTCCTGGGGACCCTTGGGAGAAGGAAGGAAGGAAGGAAGGAAGGGCTAATATAGGTAGAGAAGGGAATAAATTATTTCAGACATCTATGACCATATTTCCTCTTTACTAAAAGAGTAGCATGCCAGTCAAAATTATTGAATGCCACTTATTGTTATTATTATTTAGCATCTGAGGAGAACATGACGGAACAGGAGTAAACATATACACACAACCCACATAGTTTTATAGAAAACGTCTATGGGGTACAGCAGAGGTCTCATAATTGATGAATGCCAGTGGTTTTGTGGGTTTTCTATAGATTCAATTTTGTGGAAAATCATCCTTGCCATAACCACAAGCACTGGAACTGGAAGTAGAGTTCTTTCTTCCCACTCACTCCCATTTAAAAAGTAAACAGTGAAGACTTCACTAGTATACTGAATTCACAAAATACATTAAATTGGGATAATGAAGAATACCACCTTAAAAGTAATAAGCATAATAAAGTTTAGTAGCTGCTAGTAAATGTACAAGCAAGTCTTACGATTTTGGAGTTCTCTGGTCTTCTATTTGCTGGATGTGCCATTCTTCTTGGACAGGAGGAATATACCAGCAGTTATTATATTCCTTCTGACTTAAATAGCATTTTTCTCTGCTGTTTTGGCTGATGTTACTCCATTTCTTCCTCAACCCTGGTCCTATTGCCCTTGCTACACCCTGGTTGTAATGAACTCTGATGCTACAGATCCTGATTTTTCCGATGCTCCTCCTCTTCTCGGTAAGCCTGAAGTCTTCCAACAGAAATGTGTTTGGCAAGGAATCCAGCTTACTTCAGTAAACAACCTGACTCAGATCGTTAACTGATCCATTAAACAAAACAGCCTGCAAATTACATGTAAAATAGCTACCTCTTTGCTTGAAGCCTGCCACTGAGGGGATACTTTCAGAGAGGCTTTTAACAAGGCTCTGCCTTGTTTGTAATATTTTATGGCAGGGGCAAAGGACAGCATTTTCCACTCTCCATCTTTCTTCGCATCTGAGGTGCTTTTAGGGCAAGCTATTAGGGCACATTTGCCCTAACTTAGTACACAATTTAATGAGGATGTCAGACAAAAGTGTCTTCCATTTGTAAAACCTTGCTTCTTATTGCATCACTTTTTCCATAATCTCTTTCTTTCCTAGGTGTCCATCAGAGACAAAAGGGCTCGGAAGAGCTTTAAACCACAAAAGTAAACACTCTTCCCTTTCAATTTCCACTAGACAATTCATGACCCACTTAGGTTATTCCAGAGATATTTCCTTATCAGATTTCTCAATGCCTTCAACAATGGCAGAGCTTTTAACGCACTTGAAAAGTTATTAAAAATTCAGGGAGATATTCAGAGAAGTATCTGCCTAGAAAGTAGCCCACGTTGAACTGTATAACACAATCGACCATCACGAGTTGACCACAGGAAAAAGTATATGATATTTTGTGTTAGGTCACAAAATGCTTTATGATCATTTTATGTCATAAAGTATTGTATAAATGTTGCCAAACTTCAACTCCATGGGAGTCCTGACTCCTGGATTTTGGAAGCATTCTGTAAATTAGTTCATTTGACGTACCTTGGTTCAAAAAGTTTTACTCCACTGTGCACTGTTTTGCCCAGTTAAAGATTATAGAAAAGAGAGTATTAGTAGTAGATAAAGAAAAGCCAGTAAGGAAGAGAAGAGAGGATGATTTTTGACCGGTAACATCGAAGAATTCTCCCTTTGGAATTGCCCTAAATTATGGGAGCATAAACTGACACCAGAGCACTGAGGGTTTAACCTTAAGGTTTAGTCTAGGGACCATTCCCAGAATTCCCTCAAATATTCTGCCAAAATATAATTTTTAAGATATCAGAGCATGATTCAATACATGGCAAATGATCAGTTATTTAAATAATACACTAAATACTTAATTATCTACTTAATTCAGGGATTGCAAATTTTGCAACACCCCCTAAAATATTAAATTTATTCAGCACCCCCCCCCCCCCCCGTAATGAAGAAAGCCAGTTAGGTGTAGTGGTGACACAAGGTAAGAAATTGGGAGACTGTGAGCTCTTGTACACATACAAACACAATCACACACACACACACACACAAAACATTAGGTGATCTTTGGCCAGTCACTCTCAGTCCTTGGAAGAACCAGCGACAAACCACTTGCCAGTTCAGGCAGTCAACAGGAGTCAACACTGACTTTTTAAAAATAGTGCTTGTATTAAAAGTTTCAAAAATTGCTTTTTAATTGCTTTTCAGTTATTAGGAATCTTTGAATTGATAACTTTTACAGGTCTGAGCGAGTTTCCTTCAATCCTTAGCAGAAGAAATTTTAACTACTAACAGGAAGCAGCCTCAGGAGAGAACCACAGTAACACTGTGCTCCCAATCTCCCAAACTGGTCCTGGATACCCATATCAAAAACAGTGTTATAAACAATTTTAATTATGCTTCTCTGAGAAATCACAAGAAAGGCACCCTCCTTCAGGATGGCACCAGGTGACCTCTGTAGGAAGGCCACACATTGCATTGGCTGGGCATTCTTTCAGAAAAGTAATCTTTGGAAGAGGTATGTGGAACATGGTGTTACGAAGCAAGGAGGATGCCCAAAACAATGGGACCTGGTTGGGCAGGAAGCAAATAAAAGGCTGAGTGACCTGACAAGTTGGGAAGCAGACCCAAGGCTGTAGGACCTCATGGGGAGGGTTGCTATGCAAAGTGTGCCTCAGGGGGTGGGGGGACCCTGGGAGACCCAGCAGAGGTGACATGTGAGTTGGGGGAGCACTGCAGTGTGTAGGGTCTGGGCCTGAAATAGAGTGTGGACTTACTCCATCCTGAAGCACCCCATGCTCTGTTTAATTACACATGTGGTTGCTTAACATTTGCAATGGGGAGACCTGGGATTGCAGTCATTGAGCAGGGCAGTTATGTTGGTCTCTCTCTTAAAGATAGCAATGACTTATGATCATAATTCCCAGCCCTACTTGTAACTCAACCCTGAGCTAGAGACATTCTCGTCTAATAACAATAATATGAAAGTTGGGCAGAAAACCAACAGTAGGACCAAAAAGACATCATATTGCTTGTTCTTGTTCACTGAACTAGGCAAAATGTATGGCAAAACAACCAGAGTTTCAACAGAGGTCTACAAAATAAAGATGGCTATGCCCAGGTGCATAACTGAAGCCACATTGTACCTTTGGAGAAGCACTTAGAGAGGGAGTGGAAATTCATGAGGTTGCCATCAGTGATATTGACTTTATCTCCTCTGTGCATGCCCCTTTTCCTTTATGCTCAAGATCTCAGCAGAACAGGGAGAGGTGGTTCAACATTGCCTTCCTAGCCACAATCCTGTAAATAATTGCCCTGTTTTACTTAAGGCCAATGGCTACAAAGGCAGGATTTTTGTAAAGCTTTCATTAAAAACACCTTTCTATTCTAGAACTCCCTACCTCCATGCTTTTAAAAAAAATGATAATTTTTTTCATGGATGTTTCATGAAGACGTATCCAAGTTTTACACAATGAATGTTTGCTGATTTTTAGAAGTATACTGAATCTGCTTTAGAAAACAAACGGACCACATGAAGATTACCCTCCTGTCAGCTGAATCATACCTTTTAATGTTACCCAATATTGCCATCTGGCTGCTTTGAAGTACCGCTGTGATTCATTCCTCTTCAATCTGAAAAAGATCTGAAAGACAGGGAATTGGATACATGTCACGTAGAGTTTAAAATGGATTGCGCCTGAATGTAGAATCTTCTGAATGTTTCCATTACTGAGGGAATAAGGTAGTGTGCCTATGGGAAAAGTTAAGTCTGCCATTTAAATCACATTGATTTCAACAAAATTAAGACATGACTTAGTTCAGATCCAGTACATTAGTTGCCACTAACATGCCATGATGTTCCCAGGTGCCTGTAGCTTTTCTCAGATATTTTATCTTCCATCTAGCTGAAACACACTACTAGAGTTGGGAGGAGAGAATATATTGATGATTAGAGGAAGAGCTATATCATTACTATGTATTGTTTAATTTCATTGAGGTTATTATGTTGCTTGTATTGATTTCTAATTTCTATACCATCTTGATCTTCTGGAATGACAGAGTTTATAAATCTTACCAATAAATAATAAGTGCATTGAATTGCTTACCCTTCTTTTCGTTAATAGCTAATTGTGACAATTTCAGTGAATGTTATAGCCTTAACCTATTGTTCTTTCATCCTATATTCATGGATCACTGCATTTTTAGGCAAAATTGCAAATCAATGCTTCCAAAGCATATTACTTTGGCTTTGGACCTAGCCCAAATTGTGATCAGATGCATAAATCAGTTCTTCCAAGAGGAGTCCTGTAGACAAAACAGCATTGCCTATGCATAACAGCAGAAATATCAGCAGATTCAGGGAAGTTTGCAAAAGTACAATTAATAGCATCAAAATGCTTAGAAACAAAATGCAAGAGAAAGAGAGACAAAATAAGCACAGATAGAATTAAAATGCTGAATTGCATGTGGCAATTGTGATTTTCTGGAAACTGTTGAAGTAATTTGTATAAGGTAACATGCCTCAGAAAGCAAGCTACATTTTCTTGGTCATTTGGATTGTATTTATTGAAACTGACAAGTGAATTCCTTGTGGCAATATCATTTTAACAAATGGCCTGCATCATTTGTTAAAAAAACTAAGGTACACTTAAGTGAGGTTCAGGCAATGTTATTTTACTTTAAAATTTTTAATGTTATTGTCTTTAAAATATTTAAAAACAATAACATTCTGCTTACCATTAAATAAAAAAGTACTAAAATCTGATATAATAATAAATTCTAGGGACCCAACCCATGGGGTGGAAAATATTATGAAGAAAAAGAAAGCCCTAGACAAATATTGTGAAAAGAAAATTTGTTCCACATTACTGTTGATGCTGCAAATTGATTGATGGAAAGAGGAAAGGAAAATCAATTGAAATGGAGATTATAATCAAGTTTTGTGAAAGAGGGCATGGTTGGCTGACTGAGAGTGAACAAAATCACACTGCAAGAAGGAAGTTAATTTATAAACTCAGGAACATCTTCCACCATTGTTACCACATGTCTTTGATCACACATTCATGCAGATACTTATTTCTATGACCAGCACATGTTCTTTATTTATTTAAACTTAGAAAGCTGCCCAACTCCCAAATAACTCTGGGAACCTTTAAATTTAAAAGCAAGGCAAATAATTACAAAAAAATATGCATCCAGACAAAACACGTATTCATTTCTTTCATGAAATGAGTGATCATAGGATTGACTGCATGTCTATTAAAAAATAACTTGGGTGAGGTAAAATGTATATAGAATTACAATGTTCGTCTTTTTCACACATAATTGCTCCTATGATCTCTATAGAATATTTTGCATAGATTTTACTTTTGTCCTTTTCCTTTCTGCAAAATTGTATTTGATGATGCATTACATCACAATTGTGAATGGCCAATGTGGACTATTAAGTCATATATTATCTATATAAATAAAAATGTAAATGTCCGTTTGTACATAACCGCACATCTCCGAAAGTTCTTCACCGATTGCTTTCAAATTTTGACACAACGTTGCATTCGACTACGGGCGTGTTTTTATATACCTATATTATATACATGTCACACCTGTGACAGGTAAAAACATGAAAAACATTGGAAAACATTGAAAGACCTTGACAAATACTGAAAAACTTGAAAAACAGCGCCATCTGCTGGACGTAAAACCAACATGGCAGCCTC